ATTATTATCTATACTATTTTCTCTATTAGTAGAACTATATTGAGAAAAAATATTCCATGACAACATACAGTGGCAGTCAGATAATGTGGAAATAAAATCTGATACTTCAAAAAACAAAATATGTTGTACAGTTTCTTCATCAGTTAAAAGATAATCAACAACACTACTGCCATGATAATTGTGGCAAGTGAAATTTCCAAAGATGTCACCAAAACATCTTCCATTCATAATACGGAGTTGGTTTGCAATACAAAAATCTACTAGTTCTTTTCCTCTTTTATCCATGCAAGTGTCCCTATTAACTCTGTTGGAAATATCATTATCAATTTTATATGTTTCAAATAAAGGTAAATATTGAATGTTATCATCAAATATATAGTCAACTGCGCTTCCTGTTCTAGCATTAAAATCTCCACAAAGCATTATATTTCCTAAATCTTTAAAATGAAAAATATCTTTCTGTACAAGCTCCAAAATATTAATATTATTTTTTGTAATTGCAGGTGATCCTTCAGGGGGATTGTATACAGTACATATATACAAATCTCTATCAAAATTAAAAAAAGTTTTCTCTAATTTGATCCACTGGTATTCACTACATGTATTTTTAACTATAGAGACATGATCTTTAATCTCATGCTTAATTAATATTGATATTCCTCCATAGTATCTGCCATTATTAGATCTACTTCTACATATTGTATGGCAGTAAAATCATCATGTATAACAATTGTATCAGGTCCAATGTGTGTTTCCACAAGAAATACTAAATCTTTATCTGTAATTCTTGATAGAAAAAGCTCATCATCCATTTTGTTCATACCTTTTGATATTAATCCTCCAATATTCCAAAAAGCACATTTAACATTTGTCTTGCTGTACATCTGATACATTCTAAATAAAAACTACCAAATTTCCAAACCCAAATCAAGAGAAGAGGTACAACATCCTTCAATACATATAAAACAGAATATATTCTAGCAACATTATGTGAGAAAAGAAAAAAAAAAAAAGGGAGTTGCAAATAAACATGATGGTCATGAGTACAGGTGCACCGATAAGTGAAGATGGTGCAGTATTCAAGTGTATTACTACAATTCATATACTGGAGTAGAACACATTGTTTATATATATCATCTGTGTAACTGATAGGTAAAACCTAAAAAGATGATTAAAAAAAAGTTAGTAATTATAGTTAAAGCCATAGCTGGCAGGTTGGTAAGATCTCCTTTCCCATGGTCCAGATGGTGCGAACTGGTAGTTTCGCGATCTCCGATGGTACGTGTACATCTTCTTTGGTGAAGCACGGTGAGAGTCTTGGTCTTTTTCCATCTGAATTGGAGACTGCTCAATTCCTAGTGCTAGAAGGGTTGATCTTTTTATGTTGGAGGCTAACATGGCAACACCATCTTGTGTAAGATGGACATTGTCTCTTTCTAGGACTTTGGCATGCCTAGTAGACATGTTTATGTTATCACTAATATACACAAATGAGTCATCTTTGTATTTTTTCTTTAGAAGGGCATTGATCAGAGCACTATTTGCACTGTGTAATTCATCATCTTTACGAAGAGTACATAGCGACAGAACCACTTTGGCTGACCATTTTTGAGTGATGGTGCTGACAATTTCTTCTGTCTCGTTAACACAAATCTCAGGACTTTTTGTCTTTACATCATTAGTGAGGTGATGAAGAACAACAACATCTGGTGCTGCTTCCTCATATCTTAATATGGTATCCCTAGTTTCTTCAATTGTATAAGCAAGTTTTTTTGTCTTTTTGAATGATGAACTAAGAATGTCTGGATTAATCTTCTTCGTGTTAGAAGTCCCCACCAACAGGACTTTGGGTTTAGGGGGTTTTGTCTTAGAAGAAGTTTGATTTCCCTTATGAAGCTCATATGGTGAAGAGTGATTTTCTTCAATTTTCTTATCTCCTACCTGTGTAAAGTTCGCATTGTTGGATTCCATACTGGAAATATGCATCTTCAAACCTAGAATCTCCTTAAAAAGTGCCTCATTTTTTTCTTTGAGATGTTTGTTTTCATTTTCCATGTTAAGTAACTCCTCATTTTTGCTTTTCAGTTTTTCCACTAATGTAGAGCTTTCTGACTTGTTTGCTTCTAGCATGTCAAGGAGTTGGTGTTTGCATGTATTATGCATGATTTTTTCATTTTTAAGTTGTGCCTCCTTGTTTTCTAATTCAAGTTGTTGATTTGCAACTTTTATTTGAAGGTCATTCCTGATTTCATCTGACTTCTTAAGCTTATTTTTTATCTAGTTAATTTCATTTTCAGGGTTTTTCGATTTACTCGGTGTTGTTGACATTTTATTGTTCTGGCTGTTCAAGTTTTCAACGGCTGAAGTAAGAGTACTAACTGTAGTTTGAAGCGATTCCAGGCCTTTTAAGAGTCTTGTTTCTAACGTTTTCACAAGTCCAGAGTGTGATTTGCTTAATTCCTCTAAAGCCAGGACCATACTTTCTTGAAATCTCTCAAAGTCATGCATTGAGGCTGATACAATTTGCCTTTGTTCACTGTTTAGCAATTGTTCTTGGTTCGAGTAACTGACAGAGTTTGGGCCTTGTAGATTTTCAGTTACAGATTTTGGAACGGTTTCTTCTTTTTCGATTGACTCACTAATTCTATTCACTAATTCTTTCAGCAGTGGAAAGAACTTGGTAACAAATGTATCTTTTTCATTTCCTTGGACTTGGATAGTACCAGTTGAAACAAAGAATGTTATCTTGTAGTGTAGGCTAGAGTCATTCCCAATATCTATGCAAATAGAGTTTGTTGCTAGGGTATTGTTACTATCCCACTTTTCTGGGTTGTTATACCATTTGACTTCGACAGAGTTACACATTTGCAGCTTTTCTATGTAGATAATTTGTAAAGCTCTTATCCACGGAAATACACGTTCCCGTTTTGTTCGAAATGCTACCATTCTGGCTTGTTCTTCATAAAGGTGTGGATTAATTTCTTCGTATGCCGCCTGTCTTGCTTTAGAGCCTGTAGGCGGGCGGAGCTTATTAGGAATACAGTTCTCTGGGTATTCATTATAAAGGTTTGATATTGATAAATCAACATTAGATAAGTCTTTAAGAGACTCAAGTTCTTCTTTAGTTATACTCGACATTGTATATGTAGTCGAGGAAATTCGAGCTAGGTAGCACGTGTTTTTAAAAATGCAAATTTCTGAGAAAAAATAGTTGATACCTAGATAATATCAATGTCAAATGGATAGTTTTATCACCTCCAGTTGGTATTGCTATTGATGGATCCTCTCACTCTCGTTGGGAGTTGAAAAAAAGGTTTAGTTGTTTAGCTGAACATACTTGTTCGGATCCCGATCCCGATTTTTATATCAATACATATAAGTTTAAGTGTTGGTATATGGGGATTGAGGTGGGAGAAGTTATTCAGAATTAAAGGTTTTCTAAACATTAAAAAGATTGTTAATCAGAATGTTCTTTCCCTTTATAAATTACGAGATACACAATATATTTACTTCCATAAAGTGAATCTGTAAAAATATATATGTTTTTCACATTTAATATATAAAGTTGCTTATCATTTACTATCGAAAAAACGACAGGTCCCTTTTTTTAGAACATCGAATTTTACTTATCGCATAAAAACGTACTTTACACAGTTCTTGTTTTACATTCTTAAGGTGAAAGACATTTTTGAAAATAGGTGATGCATGTGTCTGGTTTCAAATTATATTTTATGCAGCCAACATTTACTTGAGGAATTGATAAAGTTTAAAAGGGTATCGTTTTTGTTCGATTTTCATCCGACTATAAGTTTTCAAAATATTCTCGACTATCGTCTCCATCATTTAGACGCATGCCTTTTTCACACATATCGAAGCGGTTTGATGATCAAGACTCATTTCCATTGTTTACTTTATTTATTTCCCGGGCGACAATTGATGGTTACATCAATGTTTTCTTGTTGTATATCCATCTTTGTACAAATACTACTCTGGGAAGCCAGAGTCTATATACGAGAAGCCTAACGTTATACAGTAATGTATACAGCACACATATGACGATTGTTCTTATGATGCGCTGTTTAAATGTGTCGTTCTTTTTTCAAGTTTTAGTTTAACTCCATTAGCCGGCTTCATTAAGGCTTCTTTGCTCAGTTGAAGTGGAATCTGTAAAAAATATCAATAGAAAACTCATTTATATGTTTTCAGTGACTTTAAGATATACGTATTATTTTGCTTTTTCAGTGTATCGATATTGAATACCAGTCAAATTATCAAATTACCAGCCATGACAAGAGCAGATGCCATTGATACTGAAAATATTTGTAATAAACAACTATTTATATGTAAATATATTAAGTTACTTTTAAAACTATCAGTAGTCCTATTTTCATCATCAATTCTCTCACTAAATCACTGAAACATGATCTAACCGCCCAATTCATATTATTGTCTGTCAAAACAAACCTACCAATATCTGTTTCCTTAAATGTTTGTCCCTAAACTAACTTACAGTTGTGATGGTTTTATGTGTATTTAATTGTGTATATATTTTATTTATCTATATGTGCTATATTTCATTCATATTTCCCCCTATTTGTCTTTACTTATTGTATTGAGTTATTCCCCTTTGTTATAACCCGTCCAGGTTAGGCGCGCCCGGGTCTATAGTACCCGGCCGGGATTTATTATTATATATATATATATATGTGCATTTGTTTAATCAAGAGCAGTCGACATTATAATTAATTATCGAATAGACGTATTTCGGGGATCGGGGCTAAATTCCTATCCACAATAATGGTAATTATCACGTTCTTGGATCTTATGTGATATTGTTTCATATCTTTTACGTTTGTTTTACATGATTGTTATCTCAACAGAATATAGAACTGATTCTTTGGGCACTGAAATTCTTGTTATTCTTTTATCCTTCCGAACTCGGATCATGTACGGGACTAACCCCTAGACAGTCCCGTTACACAGTTAAGAAGAAAACTTACCTCAGTCTCGCTACATTTAGTGAACCGGTAGTGCTGTAGTATGTATGCAATTCCACATTTAACCTCCATGCCTGCTAAGCGTTGTCCAATGCAGTTTCTGGGACCATGACCAAACGGCAGAAAGGTGTAAGGGTGACGGCTCTCTTTATTTTCTTGGGTAAATCTAGAAATAAATGTCGCAAATTGGACTTAGAATTGGTTTAATTTAGATTTCAATACAAAAAAAAAAACAAAATTAATGTTTACATTTTTCAATATGAAACTTAGCATGTTAAAAACTGAAACAAGGTAAATGTCACAATAAATTTTAGAAGAGCATAGAATGTTTTAGTGTAGCAAAATTTACACCAGCAAGTTTGACAAGCCTTTCAAGAGCTATTTCTTCAACTATATGAGACTCAACACTACTGTAGACCGACTATTCTAAAAGTTTACAGGCTCAGTATACATGCTTTTTGTATCAAGATCTTTTTCACTCTTATCTTTTTATACCACTTGCAGGTAAAATTGTCAACTTTATAATCCGTTAAAATTTCTTTTTTTTCTTTTCGTTAGCCATTTTTAAGATTCGTGTGACCATGAGTTGACTTCTTTCTAAATGCTCAAGTTCATTAAACTTTCTGAACTGTACAACATTTCTGTACTTCTGCTTGTAGGCCAGAGATTGTAGGAAAATGTTGATACATTTCTTTGATGTAATCAAACAAGAGCATTTCCCAATCAGCATCATTTAATACATGCTTTAATCCTACAGGTTTACCATTTACTATATTTTTTCCAAACGGGGAAATATAATTAGAATTACTTACCGTTCAGGATCGAATTTCTCCGGTTCTGGCCAATACTTAGGATTTCTATGTATCGCAAAAATAGGAAAAATGATTTCGGTATTGGGTGGAATCTTTACCCCCTCCACGTCAATTTCTTCAGAATTGTTCCTGTTTGTCCTGGTGAAGCACAAGGAAATTGTTTTTGATTATTAACAATGATTAAGGGTATGTTCTCATGAATCTAATTTATGGAACATGTACCAGTATTCAAAATAAGACAATTAATAAATGCACTGTGTTGAATACAAATCAGACTATTCAGAGGTAATTTTCCAAGATTATGTATGTTTCTGGGATTTTTCTTTTCATATTGAATGACTATTTGGCAATATATAATAATACATCATTGCTTTTACCTAACGGCTGGTGGGTACAGACGAAGTGTCTCGTTAAATACCTTATCCAGGTACTCCAGCTTCTGGATGTTGTCATAGGTCGGTAGCTCCTAGAAATTAGTGAAACATACTCGGTAGTGAACAATTTGCTAAACAAACACTATATTCTGAAAAAAAGGCCAAACTCACTTATTCTAGAAATGTGTCGGTTTCATTAATAATTCAAAATCTCACTTGTTCAAGAACTGTGTCAATTTCATTTATCAATTTATCTTGGCATTCTGGGTTTGTCGCCAGGTTATATGCAATAAAAGTCATGGTGCTTGCTGTGGTGTCATAGCCGGCCAGTAGAAAAAGAATAGAATTTCCAGTTATCTCGTCCACTGTTAAACCTGCAAATTTGATGTTCTACATAACTGAGTCATACCTTGATTTATTCCAATAAACTTTATTATCAAACACCAATCAACTCCAATTGAGTGAATATCCAATCAAGTTTTCTTGAATAAAACATCGGAACTCAGCATCAATACTATAGATGAAGGAACCCACCTCTCTTTTTCCACTCCTCTGGATTTTCATACGCGTGTTTGTCCTCGATTTCATTTTTATCAGTGTAATTATGAGCATTCAACATGAGTTGTAGCATATCTTTTCTGTCCTGTTTGATGCAATATGTGAATATTAAATTTCTTTTTTAAAAAAATTATTATTTTCTTAAATAATATTCCAATGTGGAGATTTTTTCTTCGAATTACATGTACACACATTTCTACAGAACATTTTTACAATTAAGGGAAAAAATCAATAAAAAATATTCCATAAAGCCTACTTTATCCGTGTCATCCCGCATGTCGATAGCTTGATGCACTGCTGACTTGAAGAACTCCATCCTTCTACGGTTATTCAGAGGTGAGAGACTAAAGTAATCCAAAAGTTTATCAAATGGAGGTATAAGTACTGGAAAAGAAGGAGAAAATAGAGATCAGGTAGTACAAAAAATAGTAAAATGAATTAGATGTTAGTTTTAATGTCTATACCTGCAAGGATAGCCAAAAGAGAGATGTCAACTTCAAACAGTTCTTTAGCGTATTTTACAAACTTGTTGTCAGGATTTGTCTGGGAATCGATCTCCATGCCAAAGCCAAGGGAGGCAATGACGTCCATTGTATAACTCCCAAATACCCTAAAATTTAGGAATCTTCAAATCTTGAAGTTAGAAAAAAATATATGATTGATGAAACATTGTAAACTGGTATATTCTCACTAGTATTTGAGAAGTATTAGAAATCTTAACAACAAACACATGTACATACTGTTTAAATTCAATGACGTTTCCTTGCTCTGCTTTCTTAGTCAACCCTTCCAGTAACATTTTGTATTTCTCTTTCAAAAGAAATCCCATCTTAAAAAACAAAAAGACAAAAGGGAAATATATTGTATATAAACTTGTAGAGAGAGATGGTGGAAGAATAAAAACATTGGCATATATTGGAACAAGTTTATTGAAAGTATCTCTTGCTGTGACAATGATTAATTCCTTGTTATCCCCTATGAAATCTCACCTTTCGTAGTTTACCACTGGAAAAAGTCGGTAGAATGGTGTTTCTCATAAATCGCCAATGATCGTCTGCAACTTCGGTTAAGGACTGCCTCAATTCCCCGCGCTGCTCTACCAAGGCCTACAAAAATATGTCATTTCAATGGAAGCCTGCGATTCCCTCAAAAGAATTCATTAACGCTTTAGCACCTACAAGTTTTATTCCTGTGCAGTTTTATTACATACTGTATGAAATTCATGAAGTATTCAACGACGATTAATTTTTAGACTACTGAATGGGCTTTTTAAGTATAAAATATCACATACGAATCTGTTTGGAGCTTTGGAAAAATCCTTCACCATGATAGTCTTAATGAGATCCGGATCAGATATCATAATGGAAGGCTGACTCCCGAAATACAGCCTGCAAAACAAGTTGAGAAAGGAAATTAAGGAGATTCCATCAGTTGCAATTTTAAAAGATACGAGGAAAACTTAAATTTCATTATTAGTGTAAAACATGAAAACAGATAGCTTTTGTCCAAATAGATAGGGAAACTCACCCGACAAGACGTCCATACTTCTGAACCAATTCGACATCCAACGCATAAAAGCCCTGTTAAAATTAAAAACAAGACAGAATAATCAATTGTCCTAACAACGCACATTTAAAACGTGTTATTAATTATTATATGATTGAATATTTTCTATCTCTCTGATTGGCTGAGATCCAACAATGTAGAAAAAATACTACGTTATATTCACTTGCACGTGACCTTCCAGGTGAATATAAGGATTTCTTTTCTCTACATTGGTCTAAAAATAAATCAGGAAATTCCAAGTTGATACAAATAGTTTTGGAAAGCTACCAGTATCCAGTATTTCACTTGCTACCGACTTCTACTCAGGTGAACATAACATTACGGAATATATAATTTGGGGTGCTTGTGGTTGTGGGGAGTTGGGGTTGGGTGAAGGGGATCTCCCCCCCCCCCCAACATTTTTTTCTGAACGTAAATTTTTACTTTTAATTTAGACTAAAAATATTCATTGAAAGACTGATCCCCCAATAATGGACCTTAATCCCCCACCCCTAACTCCATCCCAACCCTAAAACAAAATTTGAAGTTAAAAGAATTCTTCAATTTTGTGGGGGCTAATAAAAGATTCAGCTGTCATTTTCCCCTGATAATGCCCCCTTTCAAAATCTATTCTATAAAAAAGCCTGACATAATTTCTTTTTTCATAGCAACTATAAAGAAGATTTTAAAAAATCCAAATTAATACGACTGGTAATGTTTGTTTAATCCTGCTTCTCTCGATCATTGTGTGACCAAGGAAATTATGTGTAAAAACATTGTGACCGAGCAATTTTGGTATAAAACAAACATTTATAACGAAGTGAGAAAAGTGTTATAATCCGAAAGAACTAAAGGACAATAACAAACGGTCCAAGGGACGATTGAAAAATGGTCGCTAAAATCCACCCAAAATTCTTATGTAAACAACTGACTTTATATCGGAAATAATAGATTGAAATGTTATTAATGTAAGATTGTGTAATGTTATGTGGTTCTGATAAACTTATATGTTTGGTAGGCAGGTAGCGGTTGTTTTATACCAAAATTGCTCGGTCACAATTGCACCTACCGGTAGCTAGGACTTCAGCAAATGTAAACAAGTTAGATGGCATGAACTGCTTGATGAATAATGAGTTCGTATGATTTAATTATTGAATCACACAATAAAACAATTATTTCGGGGGGGGGGGGGAGGGGTGGATACAGTCAATACGATGATTTAGCCACCTTCTAAGTAAATATTCACCTCGCCCTTCGGGCTCGGTGAATAGTGTACTCTTCAGGTGACTAAATCATCGTACTGACCTCAAAAACAGCAATAATTGTATAATATTCCCTACAAACATCTTTACTCTACGAAAGCCCATTGAGCTCGATCATTTTTGTAAGTAAAAAATATATATATATTTCGCGTTTTAACGCGAAACTATCGCGAATAAACGCGTAACTTTCGCTTTATAACGCGAAACTTTCGCTTTATAACGCGAAACTTTCGCTTTATAACGCTTAACTTTCGCAAATAAACGCGAAATTATACATATATAGTCACGTTACTCAGGATCCTGTGATCTTGACTGACAGATAAAAAACATGAACGCAGAGGGGACTTCTATGAATTTATAAATTATGACATTTTTTCAGAAGATGTAAAAGAGAATTGATGCGAGAAATGTATAGATTAGTGTTGATTTTGCATTTAATCTCAAAACCCTACTAATTAATCAAATGAATATTCCTTTAAAGATTTTCTTGTTTTTCACTTGTTGAATCCAAGAAATTCTTTAGATTAATTTTTTTTCTCAGGAAGAGCTCCACTCGTTGCTTTCTTTGAATGAATTGTCAATGTTTTTGTAAGTAATGGTATGACCAAGTGGTGCAAACCTTAAAATACAATGTTGTATTTCTACAGTGAGTCTATCGGAGATGAATCATTTGATACGAATATTTGTCATCCAATTTTCACATTAGGTTACTCATGTGATGTGACACAATTGTTCCGTAAAATATACAAATTTACCTCATTATTGTCAATTTTCTGAGATCTTTTATTTCAAATTCTATAGAGAGTGTTCAATCTAATTAAAATTAGACTTGTATTTTCGCTCCTCTACTATACGCTTCAACACTTGTATTGAAGCGTATAGTTGAGGAGCGAAAACACAAGTCTAATTTTAATTAGATTGAGAGTGTTAAAAGTTTCACTTTGGAAAAACTCGCATAGACTTTAAAAATGCTTGAACAGCATTGAGAAAGACAAAGTAAGACGGCAAAAAGATTTAGAAAGAATGTTTAGTATATTTCTCTTAATCGAGTCTTCTACCTTGAAAAGGAAAAATAATTTTTTTTTTATAAATTGATATCATGCAAAGTTTTCAAATAAAACTGAATTCAGTACATTTAAAAAATAACACAGAATGTGATTGAATTTCGTTTAAAAATTGCAATTTATTAAAAGTTGTTAATTTTCTGACCTTTTTATTAAGTTGAATCATCTGGCCTACGTAAGGGACATGATCAGGTCCGGGAATCCCCAGGCGACGCCATAAACCAAATTTCCGTTTCACATATCTGTAAAAATACAGATCATATTTATTTATGTATTAAATATATTCCATCTACTAGCGATTATACAGAAATTTGTGGTAGTGCATAATCAATAGATTTGTTTGAAATAAAAACAAGTATTTACTTACATGTATAATACGGTCGATAATCCAATTATAAGTAAAATCCATCCCCTGAAGCTCAGTAAGCCTAGAACGTCCATTTCTCAGTCCAATGGTAGGTACATACCTCTGTACGTTCCTGCCACTAGCTTTTTATTTCACAACAGCAAAGTTATTTCAATAAATGACGAAAGTCAACACTCATAAAAGATCACAGTACTAGATATTGACGTTTACATGCATAATAGCGATTTAAAGTGCGACCGACTTAAATCAAAGTACTGAAAGTACTGAATCGAGGTGACGTCTTCTATCTATCCCCAAGGTAACTGGTACGTACAAAACCTTACATCAAGAGAACCCCCAATGAAAACCATTGGAAAGCAAAAAAGTGAGCAATACGACAAAAGCATTTTGTAACTTATTTGACTTTTTTTAAAACTGAACTAGTTACTTCTAAACAAATGCGAAAACACTACATGTAACAACCTACTAACCTAGACTCAAAATTTTAAAATGATTTACAAAACAGACTGCGATAGAATCTAACAATCAAAGAAAATATGATGTCCAACCCTCAAATGAATAAATAAATTGATATAATTATAAATAATTATTTATCGTTGTGTTATCACGTGTGTTAATATGTGTTTCAACGTCTTCACTCCAATACGCAAGTTTCGAGATTATCTCCCTTGGTGCGCTCTTTCGTTACGGAGGGGAGTTTTGTTTCCGCGTAAGCAGGCAGGTGGGACAGTTATTTATATCGGATACATTACATCATCGATATACATAGCTGTCTATCATAGCTGATTGTCGGGATATACTTATTACTGAGTTAAAGTAAAGGCGTCAATTTTTTCTACGAAAAAAAAAACGGAACAAAAGAAAATAAAAATTGGAACAAAAGAAAATATCAGTGGATAAAACATCCAACGAGGGAATAAATCTATATGGAATTTCTAATAGGCCTAAATACACACACACCTGATCATAGTACGTCAAAGAATTATCTTTTTTTTTAATAAAGACCATGACGGTTCTTTCGTTTTCAAGTATCCTAACTGAAAATAAATTTTGTAAATATGTATAGAAGAGCTTTACAAAATTAACAAAATGATCACCCCTTAGCATTATCATCTTTTTATAACACCAAATGAATTTTAAAAGCCATGGCAATCGTTCTTTTATTTTTGCAAGTTTTATACATAAACAACCTGTCCCACTTCCATGCTGATATAGATACTTTTTCCGCCTCTATCGTAGGAGAGTTATAATCTCGAATAGCCTGTTTCCCTGGCCTTCCCATAATGCTGCGCAAACGAAGCAGCATTATGGGAAGGCCAGGGAAACAGGCTTTGCGCAGCATTATGGGAAGGCCAGGGAAACAGGCTACAATCTCGAAACTCGCGTATTGTCGCTCTACACGATCCATTGTGGGATACCGATCCCGATGTTTTTTCATAATATTTAAATATCAGTTTGTGTGATAACTGAATATCATACAGTTTCAAATACAGTATATTGAGCTCATAAACATGTATAAAATAAATGCTAATTATCAACACCCCGCCTCTCAAAATTCAAAAGACTTAAGTTTAATTAAACTGTCCGGGTATTTTTTGCAAAGTAGGTCAAAGTCAAGTTCAAGTGAATTACAAGTAGAGCTTTTTAAAAAAGCTTACCGTCTTTAGCAACAACCTTAAACAGTAAACTGACCTAAACCTATCAGGCCGTATAATTCTTGAAAACTTCTTGGCTTTGTATTTCTTCATTAGTTTTTTCTGACATAAGCCCTAACCAAGTGAAACATTAACAGATGCTCGGCTGTCTCCGTAAACTTTGACACTGCTGCAGAGATTCATTCGGCAATCCTCGGCCGAGGTGTTGCCGAGTGCTGCCGATTAGAAAGACAGTGCAACACAAAGGGAAAAAGAATGTACAAGCTGTAAAGCTTGCATGCAATAAAGATCAATTCTGTTAACATTGAAAATAAAGAAACGCTTCTTGGTAATTGCTATAAAAAAAACTAGAATTAATTGCTGCCAATTTCCACTGTTCGTTTTGTCATATTTTTTTACGATTGAAAATCTTGAAAAATTGTTAAGTCGTTCGAAAATTAGACCATCAGAAAATTATCTTCCTTGCCTTGAACAGCATTTCAACCAATGAAATAATTGAAAATTTTCTCATCATGCAATTTCTACCAATCACAAAAGAGAGGAAGTGCATAGTCCGAAGACTGTAAAATACTTCAACTCTGTATACCGTCTTCCAAGGAAGACGGTAATAACGCTGGTATTTTTGATAATGTTTTATGACAATCAGTGCACATACTAAATAGCATAGACTTACCTCTTAAATGTCAAAAATATGCTGTATATTGGCACTTTTAACTTTTTTATGTAAAGTAGGTCAAAAGTCACGAGGTCGGGACCATGATAATTCACAAATGCAACAGTGCCGAGCAAATGCCATTATAGTGCATATATCAATTCTATATCTGTTACAGTTCTTGAGATACAAGGTGTAACAGACGAACAGACAGACGCCAGGTAAAGTAATCCCTAAGTGCCGCTCTGCACTGCAGGCGACACAAAAATGGAACTCAGAAATTTTTATACATTGCGATGTCATCCACAGATTTTTGAATTACTTTGTTAAAAAATATTCTAATTCTACACACAAATACTCTCTAGCTGATGTTAAAAGGATGCTGTTGTTCCTTATCAATATCTGTAGAGAGCTACGTTTTAGATTTCAAGAATTTCAGTGAAAACGGTGAAAATTCCAGCAATCGGAATATAACCATAATCATAATGTAGAGACTTTTAATATCTTATTATTCACTCAAATTTCGTTTTGTGTCCTTGAAAACTAAGAAAGTTATTGTCATTTATAATCTTAATTACCCAAGCATATTTCAGCTCATGCACACGCATGTGCGTATTTCCTAGATTTCTCACACATATATTCTTATAGTGTCTCATCATATATCTTTGTCTTAAAAATCAGTTAATATCCATTGAATAGTAAAAGAGTTATGTACAGCCAATATGGTATTCGCCAATCAGAATTCAGCACACAAGCATGTGTTCAATTGTGATATTAACGTAATGGAAGAACACATAATAGCTATCTGTTTTAAATTTCATTCTGTTTTGTTGAAAAATAAATAACAAACTTTAAAATATCGGCCAATCAAGTTAGAGTGCATGTGCAGGCGCGTGTTTTCAAAAATATATATCACATAGCAGACCCTTAATCACGTATTATATCACGTATATATCACACAGCTTCCCTATTGTTTATACCATGTGTGGTAAATATCAAAGGATCAAAAGTTAATTTGAAGGTCACCACGAGTGCCAAACAAGGTGTACATGGTATACACAGGGACTATTTTGTCAGAAACACGAAAGTTATTGAGATTTTTGTTTCAGCCAATCAGAGCCTAGCACACGCGCATGCCCATGTCATCTTGTCTAGACTATTAATGTACCTGTATATCCCTTTCAAAGTTTCAAAAAATATATGTTACCTCTATATCAAGAATATGGGTCATTTCAACCATTGCACAAACGCGCACGTGCATACATGTGAATGATGAGCATGTCATCTTATCTACACTATTAATATATCTTTATATTCTGAGTATCAAAGCTATAAAAGTTACATCTAGATACCAAGAATATCTAGCATTTCACGCATCGTAAGCGCAAACACGTGCATGCATGTGCGCGCAAATGACCTTATAAAACATGCCTATTAATCCTAAAAAGGTTTCACCTGAATGCGACTACTTTTTGAGATCACTCGTGGACAATGTGCAATACAGCATTACCAATGAAATTAGGCAGTTCAGAGAGAGTTGTTTTACAAGATCCTTATAGTCATTCCCGGTCAAAATGTTTTATTTGTCCTAAATTCGTGATTATTTACCAGACTTTGTTCTACTTCCTGCCAATCAGGAGGTCGTCACGTACCATTTGTTAAAAACCTCCCGTTTGGCTGCCAGTGAAAGGGAATAGTGTAAATAAACGCAAATTTAGGACAAATCAAACATTTTGACCGGGTGTACACGTAAGAGGATTGTAAAACAAAATCTCCCTGAACTTCCTCTTGAAAAAATTTCATTGGTAATGCTGTATTAACGTTGAAAACCTCCCTCGAAGCGAGGCACCCTGACTGATTAAAAGATTTTGTTTCTTACTGTATTTTAACAATCTCTAAAACTTGACCAAAAAAAAAACAACCGAAAATGATATCAAATATCGAAGTATTGGTATGATATACTAGGAATCCATGTTTATTTGCTAAGTTATCGTGGCTACAAACATTAAACCAACTCCTGGACGTATTGCAGGAATATGTTTGCATGATTATAATTAGTAAGACCTCAAAAGAAGTACAGAATTCAAGACCTCTGCTCCAAGGGAAAAGGCCATAACTGTGTTTTTAAACATACTGCTTCAAAGATATAATGCCAAGGTTACATATTGATGACCTGGGGTAAAACAGGGGAGAGATGGTCTCATCCATTTTGGGAGGAGGGTCTAGTTATAAACATAGTCAAAATTTTCTTTGAATAGTTATAACAAATCTGAATTCGAAACATCTCCTTCAGTTTAATTACCATTCACGTACAGTCAAACTTTCCTATTTCAAACTCAATGGGACAGAGAAAAAATCTTCAGATGTTCAAGGATTCCAGCTAACAAGGTTAAAATAGATAGATCTAAAGAAAGAGTAGTTGGCACTTTGACTTATCCATGGTGTTCAAGATATCATATTCCAAATAACAAAACCATCATGTTTTTTATCAGAACAAAACTTGTTATATAAACTGATTTGTATAAACAATACAGTAAAACACACTTATAACAACCATGCTTATAATGAATTCATGTTTATAGCGAAGTATTTTTATTCCCTGGGGTTTTATAGCGTATCATGAAATTAACAGATATAACAAATTACGTTTATAACAAAGCAAAACTGTTAAATCCCTGGCAGTTCGCTATAAGTGTGTTTTACTCTGTATAGTATATTGATACATGAAGGTCTCTGGTTCCAAAAATAACAATCAGGTACATCAAAATGCTAATTAAATTTGTAACATGACAAAAATGGAATGATATGCAACATAAAAAGTACATGCACTTTCAAAAACACTTCACCAAAAAAAAAACGGTTGCTTGCTTCACACACACACAATAGAGCACACTTCTACATTTATATAATTTTCTGTTTTATTCAAACCATTTCACCATAAACCACTGGGAAGATATGTTCTAGTTTTGATTGAATTGTCAAAAGGTAACATGGTGAAGAATTCCAATCCTGTAATCAACTCGACATCCCTCACTCTGGATTCATTGTCTCGCAGGTAGGCTTCTACAGACTGAAATAGGACAAAAATTATTTCATAAAATACAAGGTACTTCTCTACATGATATGGAGTGAATGGTAAGCTTACCAGACAGGTGGAGTCCTTCTCTATGTGGTACAGCACAGAATAATAAACTTACCAAACTTACCAGACAGGTGGAGTCCTTCTCTGTGTGGTATAGCACAGAATAAATAAACTTACCAGACAGGTGGAGTGCTTCTCTATGTGGTGTAGCACAGAATAATAAATTTACCAAACTTACCAGACAGGTGGAGTCCTTCTCTATGTGGTATAGCACAGAATAATAAACTTACCAAACTTACCAGACAGGTGGAGTCCTCCTCTGTGTGGTATAGCACAGAATAATAAACTTACCAGACAGATGGAGTCCCTCTCTATGTGGTATAGCACAGAATAATAAACTTACCAAACTTACCAGACAGGTGGAGTCCTTCTCTGTGTGGTATAGCACAGAATAATAAACATACCAGACAGGTGGAGTCCTTCTCTATGTGGTATAGCACAGAATAATAAACTTACCAAACTTACCAGACAGGTGGAGTCCTTCTCTGTGTGGTATAGCACAGAATAATAAACTTACCAGACAGATGGAGTCCCTCTCTGTGTGGTATAGCACAGAATAATAAACTTACTAGACAGGTGGAGTCCTTCTCTTTGTGCTATAGCACAGAATAATAAACTTACCAGACAGATGGAGTCCCTCTCTATGTGGTATAGCACAGAATAATAAACTTACCAAACTTACCAGACAGGTGGAGTCCTTCTCTGTGTGGTATAGCACAGAATAATAAACATACCAGACAGGTGGAGTCCTTCTCTATGTGGTATAGCACAGAATAATAAACTTATCAAACTTACCAGACAGGTGGAGTCCTTCTCTGTGTGGTATAGCACAGAATAATAAACTTACCAGACAGATGGAGTCCCTCTCTGTGTGGTATAGCACAGAATAATAAACTTACTAGACAGGTGGAGTCCTTCTCTTTGTGCTATAGCACAGAATAATAAACTTACCAGACAGATGGAGTCCTTCTCTATGTGCTATAGCACAGAATAAACTTACTAGACAGGTGGAGTCCTTCTCTTTGTGGTATAGCACAGAATAATAAACTTACCTGACATTTGGGGCGGTTTTCTATGTGGTATAGGATGACTTATATGGTACAGGACAGAATGTTAAACTAAATACCTGACATTTGGGGCTCTTCTCTATGTGGTATAGGTCAGGATAGTAAACTTACCAGACAATTGGAGTCCTTCTTCATGTGGCATAGGACAAAATGGTAAACTTACCAGACTACTGCAGTACTTTTTTATGTGGCATAGAACAAAATGGTAAACTTACCAGATAATTGGAGTCCTTCTTTATGTGGCATAGGACAAAATGGTAAACTTACCAGACAATGGAGTCCTTCATTATGTGGCATAGGACAAAATGGTAAACTTACCAGACTACTGCAGTCCTTCTTTATGTGGCATAGGACAAAATGGTAAACTTACCAGACAATTGGAATCCTTCTATATGTGGCATAGGACAAAATGGTAAACTTACCAGACAACGGTTGTTACTGGAGTGCTTCTTTATGTGGCATAGGACAAAATGATAAACTTACCAGACAATTGGATTGCTTCTTTATGTGGCATAGGACAAATGGGTTAACTCACTAGACAATTGGAGTCCTTCTTTATGTGGCATAGGACAAATGGGTTAACTTACTAGACAATTGGAGTCTTTCTTTATGTGGCATAGGATAAATGGGTTAACTCACTAGACAATTGGAGTCCTTCTTTATATGGCATATGACAAAATGGTAAACTTATCAGACTATTGGAGTCCTCCTTTATGTGTTTAGGATGGAATGGTAAACTTATCAAACTATTGGTGTCATTCTCTATGTGGTCTAGGACAAAATGGTAAACTTACCAGATGGTTGGGTTCTTCTCTGTGTGGTACATTTTTGTATAAGAATGTTGTACTTACCAGATTATTGGGCTTCTCTTCACTTTGTGGTATAGGAAAGAATGGTAAACTTACCACACACTTGGGCTCCTTGTCAATGTGGTATATTAAAGAATGGTAAATTTACCAGACAATTGGGCTCCTTGTCAATGTGGTATACAAAAGAATGGTAAACTTACCACACACTTGGGCTCCTTGTCAATGTGGTATATTAAAGAATGGTAAACTTACCAGACAATTGGGCTCCTTGTCAATGTGGTATATTAAAGAATGGTAAACTTACCAGACAATTGGGCTCCTTGTCAATGTGAGGTAAGATAAATGACAAGGTGACAGGAGATTGACAGGACAGGCTTTGGGACAAACAGCGAGAGAGTATCACATAGAAATGACTAGGAACGTGCCTGGAAGATAAAAAATCATATCATGTAAACTAATTTTTTTGTTTGAAATCCAGACTACAATATAATTTAGTAATGCAGTTTAAAATATAAAGGTTTTTTCATGATATCAATCATAATTTTTGAGGAATTCCAGTCATTCTTTTAAGTTTAAATAAGTTTGCATGCATTGCATTGAACAGAGAAAAAAAAATATTAAAATTTTTCTACGAGGGTTGTTCGAAAAGTTCGTGGACGATGTCAATCTTTGTTATACTACTTCCAAGAAATTTAAAATAAGCACAATATCATGTGTTAAAATATTTGTTTTGCTGATCTGTGAAATTTCATTCCATTTGATTTGATAGATTAATTTATTTCATTTTAAAACCAACATGTTTTTTAACCACAGCGCACACTTAAAAGCAATGTAACGTCAAAAACACAGCGTCAAGAGTTTCTTAAAAATTCTATCCATATACTTTCATACAGTATAGTCCAATAACCACCTAATAAAAACCTTTTTCAATCACTTGACATTTATTTTTCTAACAATTGTTCTCGTTTTATAATTTCCTTTGTTAATGTTTAATTTCTTTTACCGCTTAACTGTGCTTTCACAAGATCAGCAACTCTGAAGCGCCTATGTCTTTCCATGACGTCCCAACTTTTAAAAGTTTTTGTTCAGATTTTTACAGTTAAACCGTTTCTTCACAGATTGTCCTCGTCCTAAACAGAGTCTCTGTCACTCAAATACCGCATCTACCATTTACACACACATGCACGACTCGCTTGTGGCATATTTTCTGATTCCTCCAACATTTTTAGCGTTTATTCAGGATTATCCCCAAGTATAACACAAAACTGCATCGTTATCTGCTGCTCCGTGACGTTCTACAACATCATTGTTTTTGTCGTTTTCAAGAGGACTACCTATCTTCTCAAATTGATTTCTTTTTACCGAAACTAAATATTAAGCCATAATTTGGAATATGAATCAATGTAACAGTTCTTAATTTAACCGTCTAGGATTTTTTCATTTTTGCTACATTTTACAGAGAAGATGACTACAGACATTATTTATTTAGTGCATTGTTTGTAAATTACTAAATTTTGACCTGCGCCACGATCCGATTTTTGCAGTTTTTAATTCTGGATAAGTTTTAAATAAATCATGATATTTTTGAAAAATTTAATACAAATCTTTTAAATTTATTGTTAAAATATTTCTACCAAATTTGGATAACTTATGACGTTAAATAAAAAAGATATGACAGAAGTCAACGAACTTTCCGAACAACCCTCGTATCATTTAATTTTCTTCAAAAACAAATTGAAAAACACTGTGAACGAGAAAAAGAGCAGAATTTCAAGCTTTGTGTACTTGGATATTGTAGATATTTTATGACTTACATGGATTGATTAAACTGATCAGGAAGACTGTCGTGGTTCCAATCAAACACTGGTCCAATTACTACATTTACAGAGTCATGTGACTCGGCCCATTTATCAATGTAATCATGTAAGCTTTTCCATATACCTGTAAAAGATATTTGTATCATGCTCAGTGAACATAGCATGTAACGTTCCTCTAAATACTGGACGGATCAGAAAATAAATACAATATTTTAATATGTTTATGGCAATGAACTGAGAATCCTACCTGTTTTGAAGGCGTTTAACATAGGGACGTAAGTAGATGAGAAGGAACTAAGTTCTGGGTTACTTCTGGATGATGGCACTACAATCAGACAGGTATAAACATGTCATACCTACAACCTATTTCAGGTGTGGAAATGGTCAAGATATATTGATGGAAGAGAAAAAAAAAGAAACTATACTTTGACTTATTAGAGATGTCCACCTATACTGATCACCAAGGGAACTGGTCACATTGCAGGACCATGACCCATTAAACAGACTTGACACCCTGATATCTGGTACCACACAGGGGGAGGGCTCTGGCACACCTCTACCCACCTTAAATTATAAAATTTAGTGTAAAGCAATATTGTGTTTACTGTATTTTAAAAAAGTGGTTCTGATTACAAATTAAAAACATTTAATGAATTAATGTAAGAAGTAATTTCTGAATTGGTAATTTAACATATACACATGTAAAATCTAATGTCAAAATGACCAGAGGGATCAATGATTACAGGTCATATTCTCTCTAGGTCTTTAAAAAAATCCCTCAATTTTGTGTGAATATGATTTAAGGTCGGACAACACATTCCGCAATAATATTTAATTTCCCCCTAGATTTGTGATTGAAGTATTGCTACTTTAACAAGTTTCCTCACAAAAATTGAGGTACACTACCAGACATCTGTGCAAGATACCAGAGGATGGTTTTTCCTATATACAGTGCAGGAAAGTAATTTTGTTACAGCATCGATGCTGATTTGAATGCTTCCTTTGCTTGCTGATTTGAATGCTTCCTTTGCTTGTTGATTTAATGCTAGTAATCCTTATCCTGATGCTGTTTTATAATTAGGTCAATGCTACCGGAAGTAGCATCATGCTACCGGAAGTAGATAATGAATTTCAGCATTGCCGTTTAAAGCAATAAAAGTGCCTTTTACAATTATTTGATCATAATATCTCACTATGTATCAATAATGTGAATACTTTAACCAATATTCTTTCTCTCTTTTTTAATTTTTTACTGAATTAAAACTCATTGATTTTCTGATGCTAGTAGGATAATGCTGATTTTATGTAGGTCAATGCTGGTTTTATCCTTTGCTTGCTGATGCTGATCCTGGTAATGCTGTTTTTTAAATGCTGATGCTGATGCTAGCTCGATCCTGATGCTACTAATGCTTATGCTGATGCTGGTTTATGTAACAAAATTAGTTCCCTGCACTGTAATCTCTTTGGAAATTGCTGACATCACAATTTTTGTTTTATCTTTTTTTTTCCTTTTGTAGACATTTTGAAAACAGTTTAGAAATCAAAGATATTAATAACAAGAGGCTCAAGGACCTAGAATCACTCTTCTGATAAATTGTACAACACAGTCACTGTGACCTACTTTTGGGTTAACGTATCCCGAGGCCCCAAGATAAATCAACTGAAAAATTAAGCTTTGATGATCCTAGGCCTTTTAGTATCCAGTAGCCCTTTTCACAAAAAATCTTAAGTTTTTGCGTAAGATTTTAACATAAGAATCTCTTACAACATATCTTAAATGCATTTCATGAACGCATTCGTAGCAGATTGAACTTAAGATTTTACTAACGACAGACTTTATCCCTACCAAGAACTTCAATATGCTCTATAATCCTTAAATAAGTGGGTGAAAATAAAAATAAAACTTAAGTTTTCAACATTTGTCAGCATAACAAACATTACTGACAACAAATATCAAATGCAATCGTTTGTGAAGCAAGGAAGTTTAAAATCTGATGTCACAATCACAAGTCTGACGTAAAAGTAGGTCAGACGAAAATCTTAAGTGAAACTTACATCGTAAATATTATGTAGTGTATTTCATTTAATTTTTCGACAATGATTGTGAAAAAAATATAAAATATTATTGTAAGTTGCTTTACAAAGTTCAATTTAATGTGTAATTTGGTTTTTGCGGTTATATTTTTACAATAAAATTGGTTTTAAAATACTTAAAAGAGGTTTGGGTCTCTTAAAGTTACAACAGATTTTGCATTTAAAACTTTCTGAAGAATTTTTGTGAAAACGATTTTTATCATAAGTTTTCACTTATGATAAAAATATGTTGTAAGATTTTTTGTGAAAAGATCCACAGGCTTATAAGATCTGACAATGAATAATGATAGAATTCAGAAAGTAGGTCACTGTGACCTACTTTTGAATTGGCACATCCTGGATACAAAAATGATCCACTATTTAGATTCTTTCACCCTATAGGTCATAGTGTTCAAATTATTTAGGTTACAATTTATAACGATAAGTCATCAAATTCAAAAAGTAAGTTATTGTAGTCTTTACATAGTTGAAATGCCTTTAAGGACCCAAGATGCATCAACTGACAGTTTGATTATTTTAAGCCTCTGAATATCTTGAATATTGAAATATAACTATGAAATTCAAAAGTAGGTCACAGTGACCTACTATTCACTTGACACACTCCAAGAACCCAAGATGCATCAACTTTGATTACTGTATGCCTCTTACTGTACTATTCTATATATAGAGTTAAAACTGTGATATTCCAAAAAAAGGTCACTGTGACCCAAATTTTTGTTGACACACTCCAAGGACCAAGATACATCGACAAAGTTTGATGACTCTAAGCCTCATCGTATGCTAATTATTGAGATAAAACCTCGAAATTCTGAAAGTAGGTCATTGTGACCTACTTTAAGGTTGACACATTCTGAGGACCCAAGATGTATCAATAGACAAAGGTTAATAATTCTAAGTCTATTATATTCAGAAATATTAAGATAAAGTCATGAATTTACAAAGATATGTTACTGTAACCTTTCTGGTTAACACACTCCACTGACAAAGTTTGAATATTCCAAACCTCTTATATTCTGAAACATATATATATAGCTTGAAACTCCAAAAGTAGGTCATTGTGACCTATGTCAAGAGATGAATCAATTTACAAAGTTTGATGATTGTAGGCTTCGCATTGTTTAAGATATGCATCTAAAATAATTTGAAAATGAATACTTGCAAAATTCAGTAAGTATGTCACTGTGACCTAGCTACTTTTGGAACAACATATCCCAAGGTCCTAGGATACATCAACTGACAAGATTTGATAAACCTAGTCCCTACAGTGGGAAAATTATCGAAGTTTAGTGAAATATCATTTTAAGTGAACTTTGAAGTTACCTTGAGACCATGCCTTTTGCCCTAAGGTGATGTTTTGAACAATTTTTAATAAACAACATACATGTATCTGTATCCTTATGTACATGTATAAGTTTGGTGATAATCTGCCCAGTGGTTCTTGTGAAGAAGATTTTTTAGCAACCACCACTTCTGTTTTGATTCCTCATTTATTTCTCCTTATCTATGGGTCATATCCCTATTTTCAATACAAGGATTCTCTGACAAATTTGATAAAAATTGTCTAAGGGGTTCTTTATTAATGGCCCACATTCCAAAAAGTTTATGCACACCACACAAATGGACACAGCAAAATCTCTTTGAGCTCAGAAGAGCTAAAAACGGATATTGGAGAAACACGTCATCTATCAGACCTTAAGAATTCAGCTGATCATTGTTCTTGTTGACATTGCTTTACAAAGCATCATAAGAATTATCATCTTCTTGATTTTTTGGGGGGGGCCATAATAAAACAAAAATTGGTCAAAATTAACATAGTACCTGTGCTTTGTTCAAGGAATATGCAATCCACAGAGGGCATCGGAGATCTTCACTATACCCTGTGATGTAATTGTCCTGGTATAGGATTTTTGGGGATACCCCTGGTAAGTGAACAGAGGGAACCCCGAAAGGAAGCTGACCAGATATATCCATGTTTGTAATCAGTGAACTCAGTGCAAGGAATCTTCCTGCTGTATACATCTGTAAAAAAGTACTGTGATATTCAGACTTGATATTACTTTATATATATCATGTATCTTTAGTTCATTGTGAAGCTTATGAAGCTTGAATTTAGTCCTTGACCACTAGTATATTTGTATCTTAGCAGGTATAGTCAATAAATTGGAATTTAAAACTTTTCCTCCCCCTAATGCTTACTTACTTTTTCTGGAATAAATGAGCATGCTTGATGACAGTCTGCGTTATCTACAGCAGTAACAAACTCTGCTGCCGTTACCCTAGTAACGTTCCTGTCAAGCTTGTTACCCTCTGACCTAGTTACCGATGGAGGATTCCTCAACAAATGACTTAGAGCTCCCATAGTTCCATTGTTTGGTGCAGCAGTTATGTTCAGAATATCTGTAATTTTACATGTTATTTGGAATCAAAATCAAGCAGATACTGATGTTGATCTTTAGAGGCTTGTTGGCCACAATGCTTACCTGGGTTACTATTCTATTTCTGATAAATGATTAAAGGAAACCCATTTGTGGTCACCAAATTTACACATGGAGATACTTGTATATTAATATGAACAATTATGGCCCTGCTTTCTTGATTTTCATAGCTTATTTTTTTTTCAAACATTGCTTTGCATCAAAAGAAGATGTTTGTGTTCATTACAAGAATGTTAAGACATTTTCTATACATTCCCATACCAAACTTCTTTTTGTGGGGATCACCTAGCCCCCAGAGAACTAGGGAACTAGGTTGAATTGACAATATATAAGGAATCTATATTACCTAGCCCCAGGGGTAATTTTAACAAAATTGAATTTACTCTACATAAGGAGTCAGCTTTAATCTAAATTCTGTTTATTTGTATTCTGCAGTTTTAAGAAAATTTTAAAATTAATTGCACCATCTATCACCAAAGTATGATTAAGGCAAGTTTGACTGAAATTGGTCCTGTGGTTCTTCAGGAGATGTTGAACATGTAAAAAGTCCTGGGACACTTCAGACAGAAAGCTTGACAGACAGAACGTTTCATCAGAAAACAAAATACAGTGAAACTTAAATGGAGAAAATGGAAAGGTTACAAGTCAAAGGAAACATCAAGATCAGAAGTCACTGGTATACATATATGTATTGTGATGAAAATATCTTTACCAGTTCTTTTCAGGAAAATCAAAAAAGGTCAGGAGCTAAATGTTGACATGGGTTAACTGCTCTTACAGTTACATGTAGTACCAGTATAGATCTGCATGTTTGCAGAATGGAACATATAAACAAATGGAAGGACAGAGAGACAGAAGACAGATGTAACAAAAATATAAGGGCTGAAAAAGAGGCTCCTGACCCACTTACCAGACATTAAATTATATAACTCAATGTTTTCAAATGCATATGTTGACATGTTCTGTTTGAAGACTGGTCCATGAGCAAGAAATAAAGCCTGAAAGATAAAAAAAATATTATTATTGGAAAAGAGGTTATATGTACCGAAATAAAGCATGTTTATGACACCTTTATAAAAAGATTCAAATCTATTGATCATTTAATACAGACAAAAATAATAGGTGAGGAAAACCTTAACCTTAAAGCACATCAAATGAGGACATGTACAATCAAATGATATTTAGTCTTCCTTGTGAATTTCTTCAAAGAAATCAAATGCATTATGGAATGTTCAGTAATTATACAGTAAAACCTGTCTAATCCAACATGCACTGGGAGACAAATTTTGTGTCAAAATAGACAGGGAATCATGTGTCAAATTAAACACTTTTTACTGTACTCATACGACATGTTCTTTTCTAGTCTATTTTGTAAAATCTTTTATTTTACCATCATTAAATTTTATATTTTATCTTATCAGCATTAATCTGTATATTTTATCTTAGCAGCATTAATCTGTATATTTTATCTTATCAGCATTGATTTTTATTTTTTTTTTTACCAGCATTGATTTGTTCATTTTATTTTCACCTGCAATGCCAGGCATATTTTATCTTACCTGCATTGATTTGTACAAGTTGTCATAACCATGGTTACCCCCTCTGCAGTATTTCTCATTATAACCTTTCAGTGACCTAGAAAAAAAGGGGGGGAGAAGATTTTGTATTGATTTGTATAATATTGACCATTATTTGCATAATGAAACATACAAATTCTTTCATATCTATATTTCTGTCTGAAGTTTTCCAATTCATGTTTTTTAAAAAAAAAAATGCAGCTCTACTAAACTGAGTTGTGTCAACTAGTAATCAATTCTGAAAGAGCAGCTGCTTTGAATGAAACTTGATCTACCCAACATGGGATACTTGCATATTCATTAATCTAGATTTATTGATATCTTACTACTCTTTAGAAGATTTTTAAAAAAAATGTTGTTAGATATTTCCACACAAAATCTAAAGTACATAAATCACAGTGCTTACATTATTACATGTAACTAATTGATGCCTAATTAATGGAAACAAGCTGCTGTATGCAACATAACCAAGAACTTAATAAAAAGTTGTCTCTATAAAACTGCATCTCTTAGTGTGCAAAAAAGTCTTTGGCTCAGGTAAGGCAATTGAACTTAACTGTAACCTAAGCTATTTTTTGTGACTCACCTGAAAGTGACCAACCACTTATCCTCTACATCAACAATCACTGGTTCAATTCTCTTGTTGTTAACATAATGATGTCTAACGGGTAGAAGGTTTTTATCAAATGCTTTAAAGTGTGGATTTTTACAGGTTAGATTGGCCAGAATACTTGGCACAGGGTCTACAAAAAAAAGAAGAAAGATTTACATCAAAGTGTTTTAAATGAATTAAATATTGTGCCTGTCAAATTTAAAGGACTACAAGTAGTAAAGCATTTAAAAAAAGGGAGTTTCATGTTACATTGTTAAAATTGTGACAACATTTCAGATGATGAATTAATTATGAATTAGGTAGAAACCGAAATACTGTGGGAATACCATGGCTCTTCATCTAAAAGTGATTTCACTTACTAGAAAATTTCGAGTTATAAAAGTCCTAGGCAAAATTTTTCATTTGATTAATGATGATTCTTAATCACAAATAAGCAAATTCAGAGAACTTTGGTCCCCCTCTTTTGGGGCCGTATTGATTGACTGGGGTGCAATAATCTAAGACATATTGTAACTATTTAGTCTGTCTTGTCTTTATCCATCATACTCAAGGCTTGTCTCTTCAGGTGCAAAAGCTACAGTCAAGGATAAAATTTTGAAAAGAAGGTCAAACTTCAAGGTCGAGGTCATAAATCATAGTGCACTTTAAAAGTCTTGTCACAGGTAATGCACATGCAATATATAAGCCCTGTCTTTTAAGCTGCAGAAGATATGACCAATGTTAAAATTTTTGTAAAAAAGGTCAAACTTCTAGGGTTAGGTCGTAAATCAGTGTACATCCAGAAAGGTCCTTTCATGATAATGAACATGTAAAATTAAGAAAGCCCTGACTCTTCTGATGCAAAAGATATGACCAAGGTTAAAATTTTTGTAAAGAAAGTCAAACTTCTAAGGTAAGGTCATAATCATAGTACATCCAGAATTTAGGTCCTATCATGGTAATGAACATGTACAAGATGTGTTTGTGAAACACTGATGCCCCCGTATGGCAGATTAAGGTGAAGGTTAAAGTCAAAATCCAGGCCAAAAGATAAAAAATGTTGGTACACAAAGAACGGTCTTGTCTCGAGGAATATACCTGTGAAATTTGAAAGCCCTAGCTGCAACTGTTCAAAAGTTATGGCAAAGGTTAAAGTTTTTTAAAAGTAAGTAAAACTTAAAGGTCAAGGTCAAAGTTGTTGGTATCCAAAGGAAGGTCTTGTCACAAGGAGTACATATTTGAAGTATGAAAGCCCTAGCATAGACCATTCAAAAGTTATGGTGAAGATTAAAGTTTATCAAAAGTAGGTCAAACTCCTAAGTCAAGGTCAAAAGGTCAAAGTGGTTGGTATCCAAAGGAAGGTCTTGTCACAAGAATTACATATGTGAAGTAAGAAAGCCCTAGCTCCAACCGTTCAAAAGTATTTTTAAAAGTAGGTCAAACTCCAAAGTCAAAGTCAAAAGGTCAAAGTGGTTGGTATCCAATGGAAGGCCTTGACACAAAGAATACACATGTGAAGATTGAAACCCCAAGCACCAACTGTTCAAAAGTTATGGCCAAGGTTAAAGTCTCATAAAATTTTGCAAAAGTGGGTCAAACTCCAAGGTCAAAAGGTCAAATATGATGGTACCCAAAGAAAGCTCTTGTCACAAGGAATACACATGTGAAATATGAAAGTCATAGCTCCAACCAATCAAAAGTAATGGGCAAGGTTAAAGTTGACAACAGACAGACAGACAAACAGACAGACAGGACAAAAACAATATACCCCCAGGATCTTTCGAGCCGGGGGCATAAAAAAAGGAAAGCCCTGTCTCCTCAGATGCAAAAGGTTATAAATTTTTGTAAAGAAGGTCAAACTTCTAGGGTTATAAATCAGAGAACATTCAAAGTCCTATCATGGCAATGAACATGTAAAATAGTACATCCCTGTCTCTTCAGATGCAAAAGCTATGGCCAAGGTTAAAATTTTTTAAAAGTAGGTACAACTTTAAGGTCATGAGATCAAAAATCATTTTCTGTGGGTTTATAAAGTGTAATTGCACCAACTTGGGTTAAATAGTATAACTTGGGTAGCTTTTAAATTTGTACCTTAAAGGTCTTGTCAGGTAATACATAATATGTGAAATAATAAAGCCCTGTCTTCTTTCATACAAAAGTTTTGACCAAGGTTAGAGATTTTTGTGACAGACAAACAGACAATAGAAAGCAAGGAATAATTACTGTATGCAGGAGAATTTGTCTGCTTTTACAGTATTAGGATATACCTATGAGGATACGTACAAGGATGTGATACAGGGTGAAGTCCTACACTGGCGTACTTATGGTACGGATCTATTCTGCTGAAGGCTCCCTCATAAATGTACATGTTATAGGTATCAATAAAATCTCTAAAGCTGACCAGCCTATTACATTCATTATCAGCCATTCCTAAAAACAAAAAAAGAGCTCTTCATTCAGCATTAACAATACTTTCTACAATTCAGCATCAACAACAAATAGTAAACCGAGTCTCATTATTCCATACACTGAGGGGGTTTCCTTACCGTGATCAGCCACTATTATAATGTTGACACACTCGTGCATGTTTCTTTTATAGAGCCCTTCCATTAACCTCCCCACTGCCTCATCAACTCTTTCAAGGGCCTGTCCAATCTACAAAATTATCAGTTCTCACATCAGTAAACAAGCAATAAAAGCCTTCCACAACAAATGCCATCTGTATCATACAAAGTCCCCTTCCATGTGAACATTAATGATACAATGCATTGGTTTCCATAATTATGTGAATAAAATTCATTGCTTGATGTTTGAAAAAAATTGTTATGCCAGTTACTGATAATTTGTGATTGTAATATACTGTGGAATTGTTTTTACTTGTGGGGGGTAGCCAAAATTTTACTTTTTTTGGGAACATAATTTCATGTGGAACTTGTATGTACAGGATATTCAATGTACCAGTATGTTGATAAAGTTACACTGTTAAAAAGTGGGTCTTTATTTTATTACACAAATTATCCTGAAATGATTGGACATTATATAATTGTGGTGCTGGTTGATGCTCACTGGTTCTGGAAAAGGATGCACTCAGCATATAAATACTATAGCAACTCTTACGACACATGGAAGGCTTTTTCTATAGCTAAAGGACATGTTACATAATAGAAAAAACCCACCCATTTTCATATATATCAATTCTATAACAGTGATTTTTTTTTTTATATTTATTCTTGCATTCCAATTTCCAATCACATGACTTAATACAGTGTCAAGAAAATTTCCACAATGAAATAAAAGAAGGACACATAATAAAGAGCTAATTTTTTTTTTTTTTTTTTAAATTATTAGAAAACAGTCCATCCTATCTTGATCAATGTAGTGTTTCTGACAATCCATACACAGGTGGGCAGTAATTCCCTCTGCATTTATTGGGGGTAATTACTGCCTGTTGTTATCATTATTACCTGTTTATGACACCCCGATCATATGGTCTCTGTTTACCTACAACTCTTTACTCAATAACGATAACACTTCATTGAATGTCAGCCAGTACATTCAATACTCCAACAATAAAAATAATTAACACTCCCTATCATTTATTATTTCTTAAAATTCATTAATTTTTTTCATTGTCTAAGTAAAATTTCTTAAAGCCCATTATTTTTTTTTCAGTGTCTGTTTAAACTAATTAATTTTCTTACTTTTTAGCTTCTGCTCATTTGATTGAGTCCTCTAACATTATCTAATGCCTGCCAAGTTATACCCACAAAAAATTATTATGCATAATACATCAGTACAGCTTTAATTTTAAATGTCAAAATGTAGGGGGGGGGGGGGTATTCTTCTTTCATTTGACTGGTCAATGAGTGAACAAGGAGACATTATGACTTAAGAGTACCTGATAACTTGACAATCTGCACTCCCTAACTCATAAAACCCAATAAACTTTACTACCTTTAATCAAAGCCATATATTTCATTCAGAAAATAAAGCAAATCAATCCATTAACCATCATGTCTGCAATGAGGAACTATCTTATATCTCAAAATGTGTCGTTCTTTGATGGGAATTTTACAAATAAATCCACAGATTGGATTCCAATCATTATAGATCCGTTAGTTTTGGAAAAAATACTTTTTCGCATTGAGCTTTGGCGGATATCTCATGGATATATATTGTTTCCACTTTGTTTGCTTGGGATCATTGGAAATATTTTGTCTTTCATAATCCTGACTAGAAAAGCAGTGAGGTCTACAACCATTGCTATCTATTTGCGTTGCCTAGCAATGGCCGATTTCTTTGTCCTACTGACAGCCATTTTTCGCTACAGAAGTTACAAACTTTTTTTGGATGATGAGGGCGAGAAGTGGTCTATTTATCACTTTGATCCCTACATACAGGTCTATGTGGAGCCCATTCATTGGATGGCCTTGGGTGTTTCCAGCTTTACTACACTGGCTTTGTCTATGGAGCGGTACCTAGCAGTCCGATATCCTATCCGAATCAAGCGAGCCTGTACGCTACGTGTGGTACGAGTTGTCATTATAGGCATAATCACCACAGTTCTTATTATTACTGTCCCTAACTACTTCACATATAGAGTCGGCAAGTTCCTCAGAGACAATAAAACCTATGTGGATGTAGCCATGTTGACAGAGATGGGCAAGATGACTTTATATCACTGTGTTTACCACAGCTATCTCATCCCATTCCTATGGTACATTCTACCATGGATTATGTTGGCTGTGTTTAGTGCTCTCCTTTCCAAAAATGTTCGTAGGTCCAGTCAAATCCGAGTTGATGTACCTATAACATCCAACCCCAACAGAAATCTGACTCTTCTCATTATTATGATTGTTGTGCTGTTTCTTATCTGTAATTTTCCCAACTGCATCATAGTTTTCTATAACCTAGTACATCACACTATGGACAATGATGTCTGTACACATGAGACCCAGGGCCTACTCTCTAAAACCACGCGGATTTACGATACCCTGGAAGTTGTGGGGGAAATATTAAATGTGTTTAACAGTTGCATAAACTTTATCATCTACTGCTTAGTGGGGACCAAGTTCCGTCGAGAATTGAAGCGATTTATCCTCTGTGAGAAATGTAAGAGAAGATGGAACAATCGTGTTGTCCCTAGTCTGTCTTATCATAACCAGCTCCGAGATCCCGCCACTGAAGTCATCTCCAACAATGACAGGCTTCACGGAGGCAGTACATAATCAATAAATTACATTTTTTTCTGCGCTAATTCTTCTTTTAAGTAAATTTTTTCCAGACAGTTTGCATATACAGTAAAACCTCATTATGTCAAACTCTAAGGGACTGAGAGTTATATAATACTTCAAGATATCCAGGGTAAATTGCTTAAGGAATAAGCTGTTGGGACTTCAAAATGACTTCGACATATCCATGGTATTTGAGATATCAGTGTTCAAGATACTTAAGTTCAACTTTATCTTAGAACTAAAGATACATACTTCAAATCTGGTTTTTTGACACCATATTTAAATGACATATGTGAGTTCATCTGACTTAATAATCAAATACTAAAGTAAAAAACCTATTTAAGTAAAAAAAATTGCTTATGTCATACTTAACATCAATTCTCTGTAAGGACCAAAATTTTACTGTAGGGCTGTGGCACACACCATGAGCGATTTTCATGAAACTTTTTCAGGTGATTAATGCCCATACACTATGACATAATCAACATTCAAAATTAAAGTTACTACCTTGGTTGCCATGGTAACGGGCTAATATAGATTTTGTCCCCATTTACTCTCAATTCAAGCATAAAAATGCTATATACTTGATTTCTTGTGGTTTAATCATCTTTATTATTTTGAGATAATTCATACATTATATGAATAGAACAAATGAAGCACTATATAACACAATTAAAAAAAATTCTACAAGTCACTGCAAATTCTTCAATTGATGGCTCAAAGATGACCAAATTCTTACATTTTGAAAATGGTCGTTTTTACCCTATATTTCAAGAAGTCTTTCAAGAAATGCAGGCAATTCAAGAAAAAATCACCTGAAATTTTAGAAACACCATAATAATATTAGTTAACTTTTATGAAAAGTAGAGTGGGGATTTTTTTCGTTTTTGGTATTTTTAACTTCGAAAATTGGCATTTTGCCAAATAATATTTTTTTCAAAATGTTACTAGACACTGGTTGTTTTATAAAATTTCTTTTCCAAACATTTTTCTCACGAATAGATAAGACAAACGGAATGATAAGTAAATATTATCAAAGATAATAAATAAGATAAAACAAAATTAAATGAATTATAATTGTTTCTCTATGATCCTTTACAAAGGGCAGGTAACTCAAAATCTAAAGAAAATTAGCAATTCAACTTTTCACTGGAACTTATTTCAGTAAACAACATTTTCAAATACTAGATAAAAAATGGGAAAAGATAATGGATAAAAACTCTAATGATACTTTTCAACCAAAAATAAATAAATAAATAAATAAATAAATAAATAATAAATTACTACTTTTTCATGCATAGGTAGGTAGATATTAATTTAGCAAGTTTGAAATTTGATAAGCTAATGTTAATTTCCTCCATTTAAATTTTGCTTGTTCCCAGATGCAAATCTTTAGATATCAATTTTATTTGGATAAAGAAATTTAGAATTATTTAGACATAAATTAACACCCCATTAAAAATAAAACCATTAAGGTATATTCTTACAATCAGAAAACATACACATATTCATGTGTATATGTATAATTTTATCGTTACTTTTAAAAACAGTTTTTTTTCTTCAAATTATTAATCAAGCAAGAATCTACATCTAAACATTATCCAAAATGTGTATTTAGAGATAAACAAAATGTAGAAAATAACTGCTATACAGCAATTTTGTAGACAATAGAAACAGCTAGGCTTAAAGAGGTTGGCCATTATGTGGTGTTGTGTCTGACCAGTCAAGAAGAATTTTAAATCGGTTTGAAAAGTGAAACTTGAAATAATCATCTTCATCTTTTCCCCTGGAATAAAAAACACACATGTACTTTAATTAAGGAATAACTGTCTTATTTTTTGGATTCATGATGTGATCAATCGAGAGGCTTGCGTGATAATTTGCATAAACGCCGAAGGCGTTTATGCATAAAATTATCACGCAAGCCAATCGATTGATCATCGTCATGAATCCAAAAAATTTGACAGTTATTCCTTATATTTACATGCTCCTGATTCTGCAAATTCCCGTGCTAATAGCCCCGCTTCTGTCTCTATTTGTCACGCCCCGCACGTGATTTTTTTTTAACCGCGCCTATCGATGAACCAGTAGATCCATGTAGAAATAAAGTATTTTTACAATTTGTATTTTTATCTCGGACAAAGACATTGGAAATGTAAATATTTAAAAATCTACTACATTTTTCATGTGATAACAAATACAAGTATATAGGCATATCTATTTTTATTAAAATGTATATAATACTAAGCTGGTAGTTAGTATTTACACCTCCAAATAAATTGCCTCAGAATTCCTGCATGTGTTCTTTAAAAAGCAGGCTTCCTATCACAGGTGCTTGGAGACGGGACCCCCCCCCCCCCCCTCCCCTGCGTTCCATACCCCAAGGGTTCTCCCCGACTTTTTTTATATAAAATATTTTTCTATAACACATTCACAAAGTTTTTTTTTAATTGACTTTAGACATAAACAAACATACCGGTACAAACACATACACAAACACAGACACACCACGGCTGGAAAGCTTATACATACAGATTTTTAGGAATAAACATGAAATAAAAAAAAATATGAATACACAAGATATAGTAAAATAATAATGTAGATGACATAGATTTATCTATATGTTTATGTTTTCAAATATCTGGTTCCAGTTAATCCATCTTCTTTTATAGTTTATACACATGAAGTTCATTGTTTTATTTATTTTTTATAAAAATTCATACTCTTGGATACTAAAAGAGAACTTTTAGTATCAGAAAGTATGAATTTTTATAAAAAGTTAGTTTTAAATTATATTTTGGATTTTTCAATTGTAATACTTTGTGAATGTGTCATAGAAATATATTTTATTAAAAAAAAGTCGGGGAGAACCCTTGGGGTACGGAACGCGGGGGAGGGGGTCCCATCCTCAAGCACCTGGTCTTCATATTTTATCGCCTTGAACGCAGACAACAATTTGTTAATTAATGAATACCGTAAATAAACCATTAATAAATACAATACATGGCGCAGACGTATGTAGCGCTAATTCATGATTACGCCAACCACTCCATAATCAGTGATTGCGCTAAATTTTGAATACGCCAATTTATGTACACATACAGTATTTTCAGTGTAGCCAATTGCAAGGTAAAAGTAACTGAAACAATTTACCATCACCTACTCCAAAAGCTGTCCCCTTGCTCTAACAGAATCTTCTCCAAAAGAATATTGTTCAGTTAAGATACTGTCCGATGTTCAGTTCTCACGGTCAATTGCAAGGTTTTTTTCTCCATTAGTTAATTTTGTAACTGCCTCCTGCTTCTGGTATTTAGCCTTTGTGTTGAAATAAAGATGATAAAAACACAAGAATAAAGGTTCTCTTTATGTACCGGTATCTTTTCCTCTTCTTTTTTTCAAAGCACCAGTACATCTAAAATATGTTTAAAATATTTTTTTTTCAAATTAAAGAAATTCATTCTTATTGTCAATCATGAATACATACATTTACATGGGTATATTATATTTATATCTTATTAGCTGCAGTTAAATTATTCTCTATTGAGAAGCTGATAGCTCCTTTTAATACCCCCCCCCCCCCCCCCTCAGGGGGAGTATTAAAACGAGCCATCAACTTCTCAATACAGAATACAGTTAAATATGTTTTGTTCTTTTACAGTGAATCTGAATTATATGACTTCTTTTTAGGCTAAAAAAATTTTTTATGTGTTTCCGTTAAGTCGACCATCTCTAATTTTTACCCACCACCTACCGGTACTACTTTATTGGCCAAATCAGATTTTAAACTGTACCACTGGCGGATTTAGAGGGGGCCCTGCCCCCCTCCCCCTTTTGTGTCCAAAATATACATCAGATTTAATAAATCAATTTTTTGGTGTGGCCTTGAGCCCCTACCCCAACACCAAACTGGTCCCTTCCCCTTTTCAAGATTCCTGGATCCGCCACTGTGTACAACGTTACCAAAAATATATGTTTTTTTTTATATTAAATTGCCTTGTGTATATTTTTCATTACATACAAACTTACATCTTCTATAACATTCTCCTCCTTTTGATAAACTTTGTAGTTATGATTTGCCAAAGGAAGTTGCTTTCTGAAGCAAGCAAAAATTCCTATAATGCAAATATATTACTAAGATGTATATCTGGAATGTCCTGCTAACATGGTGATCTTTGAATATAGACCAATTAAGTCTATTATATAAAAAAATTATTTAATTTAAAAATTATGTCAATTTAATTGAAAAAGCTTCTTACATGTAGTTTTTATACAAAATAAATATTTGAAAAAATTCAAATTTATACCTGTGCCTAGGGTTGTTCTAACCATTCCCACTGACTGCCGTATCTTCTGCTTGTTGTATTCCTCCAATTGCATCTTGCATTTTTCTCATGGGTTTTAGAGAGTACATGGAATCCCACATGATGGGAATACAAGTCAGACTTCATGAAATTTGTTTCAATATTTCGCAAAGTGAATTTGACTTAAAAATCTATTATTAATAAAAACCTATACATCATTATCAAGTTGAATGCTGAGAAAGCAGTGTCTCCTTCTTTTGATGACTTACTTTGTCATTCACACCTGAATTCCATTTTAAAAAGTTGAAAAACACATCATTTTTCTGTTATTGTTTCATGTTTATTTTTCTGGCGTCTGTTTTTGCCACATGTTGTTATAAACTTCTTTAGACTTCAATACACGAGAGTCAACAAAAGGAAATAACACCAGTTTAATTTTTTGTCTTCAGTGCAAAAGAGTCAGCAAAGGGAAATAACTCTAGGCTAATTTTTAGGAAAAGTTATTATTTGAGGGGATTGGAATATGACTTTTAACTGATTTCCCCACCTCAAATCTCTTTGCATCTTTTAGATCTAAGCTCGATCTTACTGAAAATATCTTTTTTGTAAGTTTCAATTGCCTGCAAAAATTAATATGCATATCAAGAAATAGGCACCTTTTAATTCATTTTTATGACAAATTCATGTAAATTGATCTGTATCATATTAAAAACCTTGGGTTAAATTGAATAAAATTTAGATGCACAGAAACTTTAATTACTTAGCTATAAAATGAAACCCATGTTATGTTGATAACTTTCCTACATTAAGGAAGCACGGAATTATTTTACATGGTGATGACAATCAGGTCAGTTTTGCCATAACAAAATATTTCAAAGTCGTTGCTATGGAAACCAAGGAGGTACTGTCCAAAATTTACCCACCAATAGTCTTTATATAGGACACTCTCTAATATTATAGTGATAAAATAGAATTCCATGATAGTGCGTGGCCAAGCATTTTTGGTCCTTACAGAGAATTGATGTTAAATTGTATTAAATCAAGAGAAACTGAGAAGATTAAAACTCTCTCCCTCTCTATCAGTTATTATATGAAATGTCACTGAGAGAGACTGTTATGTTATTATAAAGACGTACCTTAACAATGTCATCCGGGCCAAAGGAATGTCCTGTGTGGTCAGGCTCATCATAATACAAAGTGATAAAATCTGGACGTTTATCGGCTGGCAAGTCAATCCAGGAAAGTACTGTATCCACTCGATTCAAAAATGGAACATTGCTAAAATTGGAAATCTATCGTAATCACATTCACAGGGAACAGTCCTTTTAGTACTGAATATTCTCATCAATGTACAGTGTATTTTGTTGGAAAAGAATAATTATGTTAAAAAAAAGCACCTGTCACATAACAAGTTTACTTAATTTAATTCACCTGATTTTACAGTAACTTAATTGTCATTTTCTTCAAAAGTTAAAAAAATTGTTCCATAACATTCTTATTGAAGTACAGTCTCTTACCCATCATAATCTTTGTAATAATCAGGACGCATGCCTGAAAAACAAATTAACATTGGACTTTTCAGTTGCTCTGTATATGATTCTACATTCCACTGGGATTTAAAAGATCTCAGTGAAACAATAGATGAGACTTAGAGATTAATTATTTACCTGTCTTTCATTTGAAAGTAATGGCTATATAACTATTCTCATAGATAAACTAAATTATACAATTTCTATAAAGATCTTTTTAAAAAAATATACCTGGTAATTTTATTCACAAACCTTCTATTTCATGTTCAGATCCAGGCCAAAAGTATGTTGCAGATATCTTATTGTGTTTTTTAACTGTATTCCAAATCTGTTAGCAGGAAAAAAAAATATAGAGACAGTGTATCTATTCAAACCTACAATACAAAACAAATGACTAAGTTCTTAAACTTCCATTTATTTGTACATGCACTTAATCCTATTGGAGTTTTAGGTGCTTTTAAAATAAGCATTAAATTTTTTTCTAAAGTTGTGCCATACTAACTGGTTCTCCACCCCACCATCGAGGGTCTGATGCATTTGAAGAACTAAGGCTAAATTTTTCTTTGATGTCTGTATCATACATGTTATTGTCGATGATGCCATGTGATTCTGGGTAAAGTCCCTGTAATAGTAAAAATGATAAAATCACTCAGATTTATTCTGATATATAAAACATTTTAAAACAAATCAATGTAATTAGTTACACCTTGTTGAAATCATCAGTGATGGTGTCAGAGTTTATATCATCTCATCCACAACAAGAGCCCCTGCTTACTGTGACTATAGTGTAGGGTAATCACTAAAGCTTACAGTGACTATAGTGTAATGGTTAGGGAATGTCTTGGTAGGGTAATAACTAATGCTTACAGTGACTATAGTGTAATGGTTAGGGAATGTCTTGGTAGGGTAATCACTAATGCTTACAGTGACTATAGTGTAATGGTTAGGGAATGTCTTGGTAGGGTAATCATTAAAGCTTACTATGACTATAGTGTAATGGTTAGGGAATGTCTTGTTAGGGTAATCACTAAAGCTTACCATGACTATAGTGTAATGGTTAGAGAATGTCTTGGTAGGGTAATAACTAATGCTTACAGTGACTATAGTGTAATGGTTGGGGAATGTCTTGGTAGGGTAATCACTAAAGCTTACCATGACTATAGTGTAATGGTAAGGGAATGTCTTGGTAGGGTAATCACTAATGCTTATCGTGACTATATTGTAATGGTTAGGGAATGTCTTGGTAGGGTAATCACTAATGCTTACAGTGACTATAGTGTAATGGTTAGGGAATGTCTTGGTAGGGTAATCACTAAAGCTTACAGTGACTATAGTGTAATGGTTAGGGAATGTCTTGGTAGGGTAATCACTAAAGCTTACCATGACTATAGTGTAATGGTTAGAGAATGTCTTGGTAGGGTAATCACTAAAGCTTACCATGACTATAGTGTAATGGTTAGGGAATGTCTTGGTAGGGTAATCACTAATGCTTATCGTGACTATATTGTAATGGTTAGGGAATGTCTTGGTAGGGTAATCACTAATGCTTACAGTGACTATAGTGTAATGGTTAGGGAATGTCTTGGTAGGGTAATCACTAATGCTTACAGTGACTATAGTGTAATGGTTAGGGAATGTCTTGTTAGGGTAATCACTAAAGCTTACCATGACTATAGTGTAATGGTTAGGGAATGTCTTGGTAGGGTAATAACTAATGCTTACAGTGACTATAGTGTAATGGTTAGGGAATGTCTTGGTAGGTAATCACTAATGCTTACCATGACTATAGTGTAATGGTTGGGGAATATCTTGGTAGGGTAATCACTAATGCTTACCGTGACTATAGTGTAATGGTTGGGGAATATCTTGTTAGGGTAATCACTAATGCTTACCGTGACTATAGTGTAATGGTTGGGGAATGTCTTGGTAGGGTAGACTGATCTCATGTAAGGGGCGTGTACACCACACTGACTGAGGCGCCGAATGTTAGGAGTGAAATTACGTAACAGGTAATCAGCTCGGAAGCCATCCAGTGAAATCAGAATCAGAGGCCGGTATCTGTAGAGAATACAAAATATCACCTACAATATTAAAACAGTTTTTTTCCTGTGTATTTTTGTTCTTTCTATAGGCTCCTCATACTCATTCATACTGTATTGCCACATCTGATGAGTGAAATTTCATTGTTATATTCATAATTCATCACACCCAATTCAGATTTACTACTTTGAAGTACAGGTACGTGATAAAATGCATGACTGTTATAAAAGGGTCCTATAACTACTGTTAGTATATGGGTCCCTGGTTATAAGCAGAATTTCAATATAAGCTTGTTCCATAAACATGTTTTACAATAGAAGACAATTTATTTTGTTCATAATACTGAAATTCTCATTCTTTCAAATACATGCATTTACATGTAAGTAAGAATATTTTTTAATTCGAATCATCAGTTTGTGATTTCAATAAAACATCGATGTCCAACTATACTACCCAGAGACCTGAACTGTCAGCAAGCCGTCCTGCTTAAGAGAAGTTAAGGGTAAAAGATGTGATGTGATTATTGGATAAAATGGAATTTGTGGATGGATAGAAAGACATTCTGAGAGAATGATTACATGAGGGCATATCCTAATTCTTGTTTGGCCCTGAATTTTTAAGTATTCCTTGTAACATACTGTGAGTGACAGGTTTGTGATCCACATTCTGTGTCTATCCACTTTGGTGTCAGAGATTTCCACATACTGACAGGTAGGAATGTGGAGAGCCTGGCTCTGGTAGAAGTGTTATAGGAGGAGAAAAACTTCAGCCCAGTCAGGAGCTCTATGTCTCTCACTCTGGCAACATTGTCTGATAGATACTGGTCTTCTGTCTGAATTACAGTGTATACATATATATCAGAACATAGCGACAGTTATAAATTACTGTAGAATCATTATTGTTAATGGAGGACCAATGTTCGTGGATTTCATGGATCAGAGTTACCCATGAATTTACATCCCCACGAACATTTACTTTGTAAACATATTGATTCACTGAATCTACTGTATAAACGAGTAACCTACATAAATCACATCCCCACAAACAAGTAAAATTTTGCTTGCCCATGATCTGTGACACCCACAAATTAAAATGATTCCGCAGTACATAGAATACTTTTTGATCATATTACCAAGTCTCCCTCATTTTCCCAGTCTACATAAAGTCCATCAAAAAGAATGCCAACCAGAAAAGTATATATTAGCAAATATTGACTACAATAATCATCAAAATATGAAATAGATTTGTTCTGAAAACTTTCATCAATTTTTTAGTACTGTACATGTTAAAACTCTCTCCTTTGAAAAAAAATCCTTATTTACAGTTTGTAATTTCTCAAACTTGATAACTTGGGAAGAATTTATACTAACCAGACAGTTTGGAATTGTGTCCACATGAGGAAGAATGAAGGATAACACATCAAAATCATCTCCACACGGGAATGTCTGACCGGCATTCGTACATTTCACAATTATCATGTAGAAATGTGTGGGTAAAACTAGACTGCTATTACCTACATAGCTGAAAAAAGGATAATAGATTGATGTACCCAGTATTATAGATAAAAAGATATAGCTTTTTTTCTTTCAACTTTACAAACAGAAGTTTATACACTGACAAAAGTCAGAGATACACAAGCTTTAGTTAGTAAATTGACTAAAAATCAAAATTAATTCAAAAATATCCAATTATGACAGAACAGCATTTCAACAACTTCTGGTGACAATTAAGATACTCGAAAAAACAATTAAAATTTCACCTTTCAGAAACCAGAAATAAATATGGGAGGTAATCAAATGCTGTTAATTTCTATTGAATCTGTCCCTTCAAAGTCCCAATCAAATTAAAATTAGATGTCAGATCTTCTTTAAGTCCCAGATTGATCTCTGAATGTTGGAAATATTTGTCTACAGTGAAGTATTTACATGACTTTTGAAATGATATCACAAAAATTTGTTTCTAGGAATGTTTTATTTACCAAATGAATACCATATAGTTCATGTTTTTAAACCAAGTAGTATGGTTTAAGATAACTCATTTCCCCTTGAGTAAAAAGGTATTAGAAATTTTTAATACCTGGACTTTCAGAGGAAACTTTTTTATGGGAAATGAAAGCACTAAGTCTCTACTTTATATTGATGTTTGAAATGGGACATTGGGTCTTGGTCAGTTAATTGTATTTGGGCAGGGCCATTATATGGATAAAGTGAACCTAACTCTTTGTGACCACGTACATATTGAAAAATAATCCCACATGGGAAAAAGTATGACCACAGTACTTCAAATAATATTAACTGCTAAGATCTAAACTAGCAGTACAGGTAGTATTGGTATTACCTAGATTTATTGAATGACTTATCAGCCAATCCGTCTGCATTATAGTCATAAGCAGGACCTACAGTTACACTGACATTACTGTACTTCACAGAATAACCATATACTAACTTCCATGTCGCATTCCATATACCTGTAACAAAAGTGATTGTTAAGAAATCTGTATCGTTAATTGTATACTTGTATACTGACTGTACAATTGATTCACAACTTGGTATTATTTTTTTATAGATTTCAGTACATGCAGCTTTGTACCTGATAAGAAACCCTCATACATTGGTACAGCATTAGACTGGTAATGGACGTTCTCGTCACTTCCAGGTGAAACTAACTCTACAATGAAATACACAAAGTTTAGAAGGACTTCAGTGAAGCCGAGTTCTACAAATTAAAGGATGGCTAGATCGAATTAAAAAAAATAAGCTAAAATGATTAAGCAAAATAAAAATATATAGTACAGATCAAATTTAGAAAAAAAACTGTTGTTCACTTATACATGTACATGTACCTGTGTCGTACAAGAAGCCCATGGTGATGTTGCTGGAGTGGTCTGTGAAGTCATTACATGATGCCTCTTTAATTCTAGGATCATTAACCACACATAGTGTCCTGTCTTCATCACTTTTGGCCTGGAGTGAAACAGGATCAATTTGTATTATAAATTGATAAGAATCTTTATGAAAGAAGAAGATGGTACCTTCCAAATCTGGCCCTGTACTATTTTAAAACATAAAATTGTGAGAAATTAAAACTCATGCTATATGAATTGTTCAAATTGTATGTAGTAAGAAACTTTTTGAAAGAAAATTTAAGGTATTGTTTTAATACAAATCTGGCCCTATACTTTTCTTAAAACATGAAATTGTGAGAAAGTATAACTCATGCTATATGAATTGTTCAAATTCCATGCAGTAAAATCTATACAAATCATTTTTCTCAAATGACCTCCTACATGCTAATTATGCTGATATGAACTTGTACATTTTCCTACATTTAAAGCGCTTCAATATCATTAAGATGCACTGCCTAAAAAAATCTTTTTTTTCAGTTTTGTAGACATTGTTCATGTACATTTATTATAAATGAGCTACATGTTTAACTTAAAACTATCCTGATCAATTACACAAATTTACAGAATTTGATTGTGACAAATATAACTAAGTTATTCAGAATTATGAAAGGATGAGACAATCCTCTAAAAATAATTACCTTCTGTGGTACTAACATAACATTTGTCCAGGCTGGCATTCTGAGCTCCCAGTTAAAGCCTGTCACCATCCAGGTGTAGTTCAGAACACAAAGACTTGTGTTTCCTGACCCCTCAGGTTCCCCCAGGGGGGAGGACCAGGCAGGGGTAGAGGTGAAATGTTCAGACATCAACTCAGTCACTGTCTGGTTCTGAAATCAAAAAGGAAAATTTCATTCAATGAATTTCTAGCTATAAAACACTTATTTTAAACATATTGAAATGATACTAAGTTTTTTTTTTCTTTTTTTTTAATAAAGTATCCTGTTTCTGATTAACAATCATCATTCACTTCTAGAATATAAAAAAGTGCATAATATTTAAGCATTCATTCTTTATTTTTTGACATGCAACAATTATGCACAATTTTCCTTAAAAATCCATGAAAAATTGTAACTGGGCCTCACTTTAAATTGGCTAGAGTTGAAAAGCAATTATACCTGATGATTGACACATCCACAGACTGAGACCCACACACTGCTGGGGTTCCCAGACATCTGACAGTCTGGATCTGTCCTCAGGGGAGCTTCCGTCAGTGGTTGGGGGTTCCTCAGGATGTGGTGCAAGGATCCTATGGTCCCATTGTTAGGGGCTGGGGAAATACCCAGTATCTCTGCAGAGAAGCAAGATAGGAACACATTGTCAACACTTACATGTTGATAAAGAAAACACTTCTAACACTAAAATCAAAATGTTTGGTAAACCAACATGTTAGATTTCTCATCTGAATTTTGAACTCCATACCAGACATCATGTTGTACAGCTCAATGTTTTCAAATGGATCTATCTGCAGTTTTTCTTTAAAGCCTGGTCCATGGGCTAGAAACAGTGCCTAAAAGAAAGGAATGGCGAACTTGAATTTCAGATCTTCAAATATTCTGGATTTTGGAAACTCACTGAAGGAATATGTATGAGATGGTAGCAAACTTCCACAGGACAGATGAAATTTTGCATTAATAAGATGGAACCAAATCATTTTTGTACTACTTTCCCTGAATGATGATCAATGCTGACACTGAGGAGCTTACACTCTAGTGTATCATGAGACATAGTAATGTCTTAATGTGCTTATTTTTTTATCATAGTTACATGTCCAGTGTATCATAAAATACTCACATGCATTGATTTGTATAAGTTGTCCCAGCCATGATTTCCTCCAGAGCAGTAAAAATATGTCAAGCTGCAAGTATAGCATTAATATGTATCCATTTTCTATGATATCCTCACATTTTAGATTATATATTTTATTTTCTTGTGAATTTAAAGAAATTATTTTTAATTGCAAACAAGTGTTTCGATTTATGAGGGCCCAGGTCTTATCTAATCAATTATAATCATGTAATTTGTAATTTTGTAATTTTGTATCTTGTAAATCCACTCAACATCTAATGTATATGAATAAATATTTATTTTTTACAATAATGCCAGATTTTAGAATCTGTCTTTTTGACTTTTTCCTATCCTTAAATTTCTTACTCAGTGACCAGCCATTGATCCTGCATGTCCAGTACAATCTCTCCCATCCTCGGGTTGTTATAGTAATGGAACCGCTTAGGGATTGTCTCCCCTGTAAACACTTTCATCTTGGGGTGCTGACACATCATATCCCCTACCACCTCCTGAACAGGTCTGGCTTAATAAACAAAGTCATCATTTACAGTGATAATCCTACCACCTCCTTAACAGATCTGGCTTAATAAACAAAGTCATCATTTACAATGATAATCCTACCACCTCTTTAACAGGTCTGGCTTAATAAACAAAGTCATCATTTACATTGATAAATCCCCCAGTGTGACAATGAATACTTCTAGGACTATTACCTAGTTTTCAGACACACTGTATGCACACATGTTCCAGTTCTATTAAAACATAGGTAATCCGAGATTACAGAGCTCACCTCAACAAATGCTGTCTTCAAGTACTGCAAAGTCCCACACTAAACTAATTATCTTGTAGTATGCTTTCCTAGATGCAACTTTTATGCAACTTTGGTCTGATTGGGCTTCTAGTTACTAGGGAGTGGACCTATCTAAAAACTTAAAACTAGTCATTCATCCAGAAATTGTAATTCAAATCCAGCATCTGAAGCAAGTTTGAGAGTATTCATCCCTTGATACATCATCTATGCAAGTTTGGTTCTAGGTAGGGCTTGAAGTTAAACTGGAATGAATCTGCTCCAAAAACTTTACCTCGGTCACTCATCTGGAAAATGCAAGTCAAATACAGCATCTGAAGCAACTCTAGTAGTGTGCATCTCTTGAAGCATTATCCATGCAAGTTTGGTTCAGATAGGCCTTATGGTTTCTTGGTAATGGACCTACTGGTCAGTCATCCAGAAAATGTAGGTCAGATCCAACATCCAAAGCAAGCCTGTTTGTGTGCATCCTTAGAAGTATCATCCATGCAAGTTTGATCAATACAGGGCTTATATTGACTTGGAAATGAGACCTGCTTCAAAAACTTTAACCTGCTCCAAAAACATTAAGTAAACCTGGTCATTCTTGTGCTGAAATTGAAGCATCTGAAACCTTGACTGGTACAATGAAACATACTAGAAACATCCTCCATGAATCTCTGATTAACATAGGGCACAGAAGTACTTGAAAAGAAATCTGCTCCAAAAATTTTAACCTGGGACGCTGATGCTGATGCCTAGGTTATTACATAAGCTCCCCCCAAGTTCACTGAGGTGAGCTATCAAGTATTACCAAAACAATATTAAACAGTACACTCTTTATTATTTTGGGTCAGAACTATTTACTACTGCAGGTAACTCTTGATACCTCGAAGTCCGCAGGACCAAGGAAAAACTTCGAGGGATCAAGAGTTTGAGTTTTCAAGAGTCCGGAATTTTCCGGGTTTGTTGACCGGTTTTAAAATTAGTCTTACCGGATGTAATGATTTTCATGCAGTGCTAACCTTTTACATGTGGTTTTTATAAAACAACGACATTTTTTCGTAATTTAGATGAATATTTCATTAAACTGAGTAAAGCAAAAAATGTATATTGTCATTTCATATATATTTATTCATTCTTTGTAATATGGACATCATACTATACATTCGTTACATAAAAACAACACTTTACAGCGTCGTACATGGCATTGACTATTCCAAACATGATCATTGAACACAATTCTGTATTTGTCTAATAATACTCATCGTATTGACATTGAGGCTGTTTCTGCTTTTTCATATTTCATTTAACTTTGACACTGACTCGAAATAAAAATTAAATTAGTATTACGTCTTTTAACCAACTACTACTTTTCACTGACACTGCTTCTCTAAATTATTGCAAGACAGTCGTTAATAATTATTTAAATAGCATATAGGCTAAATATGATTAACTATAAACCAATTATCACCTCGCAGCATAAGTGTTACCTGAATAGACATCCCGTTCCTCGAGACCCGCGACTTCTGCCTGGGGCCATTTAAATGTCCAGGTAAAGATGCTAATTATATAACCTTGTATACACATAGCCACTTCGAGGTATCGAGGGTAAATTCCAATAGAATATGCATAGCGGGACTGCATTTTGACTTCGAGGGATCAAGGGTTTCGAGAGATCAAGATTTCGAGAAATCAAGAGTAAATTTGGTTAGTTATATAGGGGAAAAATTTGGGACTGAAGACTCACTTCAAGCGATCAAGAACTTCGAGAGATAGAAGTTCGAGCCATCAAGAGTCACCTGTATTACATTTTTTTTTCTTAAGGGATACTGTATGTGTACTTTAAAAAGTGGGCTTCATATTTTAGCGGCTTTGGCGCAGACAATGATGCGCTAATTCATGAATACCGCTAAGAAATCATTTGTAAATACAATATCTGGCACGGACATGTATAGTGCTAATTCATGATTTCGCTAACAACTCCATACCCAGTGATTGTGCTAAATTTTGAATACGCAAATTTATGTACACGTACAGTATTTTCGTAGGGCTTGGACAAAACTATGCATAGATCTAGTACTAAAAACTCCTTACTGTTGTTTTGATCATTTGGATATATCTTGTACTTGGACACTTTGTTGAATTTTGTCTGCACTCTTCCAAATGTCCCACCAAAGATTGCTAAGTCCTTGATCACTTCTTTATCCATGTAGTATGGTAGCTTCACAACCTGAGAGCAGCTCACGTCATCCATCCCTGTCAAGAAAGAAAATCAGAATTCTTAGTTCACTTGTTTCTGAGTCATGATGAAATCAAAGTAAAATGTTTTCCTTTCTAGATCCAGCCTCTGGCACTATTAACAAACAAACTTGCATTCTGATAATAATAAGCATTAATACAATTTGTTTACATAAGTAGATATCCCTAACCCCTTACCATGGTCAGCAATAACGACAATGTTGACACAGTTGTGGAGTCCCTTATGGTAAAGCGTGTCCATTAATCGGGACAACATATCATCAGCATTCAGAAGCTGGTCACTAACCTCCTGGCTCTCTGGTCCCCCCTGATGCCCAGCGTGATCAGGCTGGTCAAAATACAGTGTGATAAAATCTGGTTTTTCAACTTCTGGTAAAGTCAACCAGCTGATTACCTCCCAGACTCGCTCGGGAAATCCCACTGAACTGTCAAAGATCAGAATCAGGTCAAACAATGCTCAGGAAATCCCACTGAACTGTTAAAAGATCAGAATCAGGTCAAACAATGCTCAGGAAATCCCACTGAACTGTTAAAGATCAGAATCAGGTCAAACAATGCTCAGGAAATCCCACTGAACTGTTAAAGATCAGAATCAGGTCAAACAATGCTCAGGAAATCCCACTGAACTGTCAAAGATCAGAATCAGGTCAAACAATGCTTAGGAAATCCCACTGAACTGTTAAAGATCAGAATCAGGTCAAACAATGCTTAGGAAATCCCACTGAACTGTTAAAGATCAGAATCAGGTCAAACAATGCTCAGGAAATCCCACTGAACTGTTAAAGATCAGAATCAGGTCAAACAATGCTTAGGAAATCCCACTGAACTGTCAAAGATCAGAATCAGATCAAACAATGCTTAGGAAATCCCACTGAACTGTCAAAGATCAGAATCAGATCAAACAATGCTTAGGAAATCCCACTGAACTGTCAAAGATCAGAATCAGGTCAAACAATGCTTAGGAAATCCCACTGAACTGTCACAGATCAATCAAAAAATTAAATAGCTTATTAAAAACACACTAAAGATAACTAAATTGAGCGGTGTATTTATCAACATACCAGGTAGCTTTAGATTGCAGTATAATATTGAATACATACCCACTGTATGGCTTCCATATATCTGGATACACTCCTACAATTATAAGGAAAATCTACATTACAGGTATCTGAAATTCTCAAAATTAAAGAAGAATAATTCAGCATGTGTGTGTGTGTTTGTGTCCCAGATAAATATTCAATTAGTGTGTAAAAAACTGGGCACAACTTTTCAAAAAAAGGGAGGTACATGGATTCGATAGCTGTGTTATATGTATCAGTGAAAACTGATTCAATAGATACATAATCCATAGTATATTTTATAATACTGGTGCAGAATTCATGACTTTGTTTGCTCTTGGGGAATTAAAAAATATTGTGTTCAACAGATATTTATTACAATCATAATTGTACTTAATAAGTTGAATGTAAACAGTTAACACCCCGCTAATTCCTGTATGTACATACATAAAAGTGTCGAGTAGTATACTGTACCTGAAATGTTGACATCAGACCCCGGCCAGAAGAAAGTGGCTGTCTTTTTATGGTGTTTCTTTGCTGTTATCCAAAGCTGAATTAATGTATATACAGTTGAACTTCGTTATCTCAAACACTGATATCTCGAATACCATGGATATGTCGCAGTGATTTGCCTGTCCCAACCACTTATTCTTTAAGTATTTTACCCTCGATATCTCGAATCCTCAGATATCTCGAAGTTTTTTCTCGGTCCCTTTGAGTTCGAGATAACGAGGTTTGACTGTATAAAGTCATCATTATCTCACACTCTATGGGACCAACATTAAACTTCAAAATTTCCCATGATTCAAGATAACATGGGTTAAAAACATAATGAAAAAGTGGTTTGGACTGCCAATGCATTTTAACATATCCCTGGCATTTGAGAGAAAAAGAAGGTTCAACTGTATTATATAGTTAGAGTATATCACATGACATACTTGTATAATAAATGCAAATGGTACATGTATATATTGCGTGCATTGCACAATTTCCAAGGGTTATTTATTTATGTTACAGAAATAATACTGTACTGAATTATTTAAAAATCCAGTATAATTTATTCCACCTACTGGCTCTCCCCCCCACCAGCGAGGATCAGACTTAGTCTTGCTAGACAGCGTAAACACCTCCCCAATCTCCGGATCATACATGTTGTTTGAAATAATACCATGAGACTCCGGGTAAAGGCCCTGCAGAAAAATGAAACATTCATGCATTAAAGAAAATAAGCAAGGTTCAGATGGGTGACCATGATTGGGGAAAAAAAACGAGGCACCCATGGACCACAATGCTCACTGGATACCTTGGCCCTACTATTCTTCAGAACAGTGGCCAAATCCTACCTCCTACGGGTCATGATTTAAATAAGCTTGAATCTACACTACCTGCAGAAGATTCTTGATTATTTATGGAGTAATCATGACCATGCTGTTCTTTAAATAAAAATTTAGATTATTTTCCTTGATCTTCTTTTGTGGCTCCATCCAACCCCAAAGGGTCCTGATTTGAAACAAGAGGCCCAAGGGCCTTAACGGTCACCTGAGTATAATACAACAATTTAGAGGATCCATAGAGTATAAAATGAACTGAAAGGTGAAGCTTTGTTGCCCAAAAGCAAGTAAAATAGGATGATCAGGATCAACAAAATAATTAGTCTAGCATTCAATGACAGTTCATAAATTAGATTCTGATCTGTTCCCCATTTATCACCATCACCATACAGTATATTAACAAACTATCAGTTTTCTATACTATTTTAATTCCTTGTTGAAAACTCTTACATTGGCCTCTCTTGGTTTTTGATGAACATTTAATAAGACAAGCTTATCTTTTAAAAAGATTGGTGAGCTAGCGCTGTAGCATAATAAAATACAGAAGAAGATATATGAACCATTTGTTAAATTTGCTGAATCGATTAATTTTTAATTGGAAGGCAGATTGGTGCACTGGGTTGAGTTGGGGGGGGGGGGGTCACAATTCAGAATGGTGAATCTAAGAGTGTGCTTCACTTCGGCAATGGCATAACTCCTAACTGTGCTTTAAGCACTCTGTATTTTACTATAATTTCAATTTTGAGGTGAAAAATAAAAGGTCAGTAGAACCAATGAGCACATTTGGGCCTTTCCGGCAAGCTCGGAAAACAGTGTAAATTCGGATCATTTCTATTTTTGTATGACAAAACGAAATTGTTATCGTACAGTCTATCTACAGTAGTTTTCCCAGAATCCCCAACCGTGAAATCGAGCATGCGTATTTCAGAAATATAGACTAACGTAGTTGCTAGCGCTTGAGAGTGCTAGCAACAAGTTATTCTTGTCTCATTTTTATTTATCTATTACTTAAAAGTCTAACTGATCATTGAAACTATGAAAGTACTTTTTGTATTATACAATAAAAATTCTTGCATAATTCTCTTATTCTATTAACCTTTCAAGTACATTATTTACAGTGATTAATTATCAATAGTAAATGGCAAAGGGGAATAACTCCTCTCAGAAGAATACAAATTAATAGAGCCCTTGCTAGGACCAGAACACTTGACCAAATGGTCCAGATGTTAGAAAATCTGGTAAAAAATACCCTTCCTTATTAAAACATTTATTCTTTTTGCCTCTGATATGCCCAGGTGCAGAGAAGATTTTTAAAAAAAATAATGCATGTTTACTACAGATTCACTATATTATCAACAGAGCCCCTCCCTCCCCACTGAGAAACACCAGAGCCTCTGACCTTGGGACCAGAAGTTTTCTCATTTTAAGTAATCACTTTGTTTATCTGCTTAACACTAAGGAGCAGACAGGATAATTAAATAGAATTAATGCATTTTCACTATATTATCAAGAGCCCCACCATTACGCCAGCACATCTGACCCAGGGGTCATGCAATTCACTACTCTGGAAGAAGCACTCTTGCTCATCATAACTATACACATAGCTTCTTTGCTTTTTAACCAGAAGCAGAAAGGAATATTTTCAAAGAAATTTTGCTTTTTCACTATAAAATCAATAGAGCCCCCCCCCCCCTATTCACCAGAGCCCTTGACCCTGGGGCCATGAAATTCACAATTTTGGAAGAAGCATCCTTGCATATCATAACAATGTACTTAGTTTGTTTAAATAATACTCAGGGGCAGAGAAGATTTTCAAAGAAATAAATCATCTTCACTTACAGGATCTATATAGCCCCGCCCTTGCACCAGAACCCCTGCCCTTGGGGCCATGAATTTTACAATTTTGGAAGAGGCATCCTTGCTTATCATAACAATGTACTTAGTTTGTTCAAATAATACACAGGAGCAGAGAAGATTTTCAAAGCAATAATGCATTTTCACTATATAATAAATAGAACCCCACCCTAACACCAGAACCCCTGATCTAGGAGCCATGAAATTCACAATTTTGGAAGAGGCATCATTGCTTATCATAACTATGTACTTAGTTAGTTTATTTAATACCCAGGGGTAGAGAAGAAGATTTTCAAAGAAATAATGCACTTTCACTACATGATCTATATAGCCCTGCCCTAACACCAGAACCCCTGACCCTGGGGCCATGAAATTCACAATTTTGGAAGAGGCATTCTTGCTCATCATAACTATGTACTTAGTTAGTTTATTTAATACCCAGGAGCAGAGAAGAAGATTTTCAAAGAAATAATGCATTTTCACTACATAATCAATAGTGCCCTGCCCTAACACCAGAACCCCTGACCCTGGGGCCATGAAATTCATAATTTTAGATAAGGCACTCTTGCTCTTCATAACTATGTACTTAGTTAGTTTATTTTATACCAAGGAGCAGAGAAGAAGATTTTCAAAGAAATAATGCAATTTCACTATATGATCTATATAGCCCCACCCTAGCACCACAACCCCTGACCCTGGGGCCATGAATTTCACAATTTTGGTAGAGGGCTCAATGCTTATTACAATCATGCCAACAGTTTGACTGCTTGATGTCCAGGAGTAAAGAAGAAGATTTTTAAAGATTGCATTAATTTTGGTGGTTTTAGCCCCACCCCTCAGGCCCCAGGGGGGCAGGGACCATGAATTTCAAAATTTTTGTTCCCCATCACCCATAGATGCTATATGCCAAATTTGGTTGAAATTGGTTGAGCGGTTTTAGAGAAGAAGCTGAAAATGTTCAAAAGTTAACGCACGACGGACGACGGATAGCAATAGGTCACCCAATCACTCTGGTGACCTAAAAAAAAAATTAAATCTACACAACCTGAGGATGTTAGAATACTAATGTACTGTATAATAAGACTTTTTAAGACACCCACCCTATCTTTACCTTTCATATGTAATTCCCCTTTCAAGAGGGCATGGTATTTCCTTTGAGCAAACTTGAATCCCCTTCACCTAAGGATTTTTTTTGGCATGTTTGGTTGAAATTCGCCAAGTGGTTCTGGAGAAGGTCGAAAATGTGAAAAGTTTACAGACGAACAGACAACTAGATGGACAAACAGCTAGACAGTCAGACAGACAGACAGAGATCAGATAACATGTGATCAGATTCAGATCATCAGAAATGACTAACACTGACAGCAGTCACATACATGTATAAGGAACAGGAAAAAAGAAATTTTACAGCTGGATTACAGTCCTAGTCAGGTGTTCTAACCAATATCCAGGTCCATATAGCCCAAACCACTACATATGCATTTACTGACTAACTTTGACAAGCATGTTGCTATTGACATACTGTGACAATGGTGTAGTGGTTCGGGAAGGTTACTGTGGGAAACACAGATCTCATGTATGGGGTGTGGACTCCACATTCCCTCATCTTCTGAATGACGGGGGTCAGTTTCTGCTTTAGATAATCAGCTCGGAACCCATCCAGTGAAATAAGTAACAGTGGAACTTTACTGAAGGGAACAATGAAAAAAAAAATCCATCAACTCTCTACATAGTTTTAGGTCAATATTACTTCTTTAAAGAAATAAAATTTTAGTACCATAAATGGTACTAGCCTTATTCAACTTCTTAAAAAAAAATTTGAAAATTCTTTTTTTCTATAATTCCGCATGAACTGAATGTTTAACTTTCTGGTAAACCTTATAGAATGATTAATTACCCAGGGCAAGTGTTCTGGCTTTTGTCTTCACAAGGGAGGTCACTCCATTTGTAGGAAATATATTGTGTGGGCCAGAGCGATGTGGGAAGATAGGTCCGTGGACGAGCTGAGGTCTGTTCACTGAAATAGGTTAGGAACCTTAGCCCTGTCAACAGCTCAATGTCGCGGAGTCTTGCTACGTTCTCACGTAAATACTCCTCCTCTGGCTTAAATATAACAAGAAAAAATTTAGAACACTCTCTTTTGAAAATACTAGAGATTATAATGCCTATGCTTGACAAAATCACAGTTTACCCTTGAAAGATTACATCAAAATGAAAGAAACGATGATGAAATAATTAAAGATTTAAAAATATTTCTAATCATTTACCATGCAGTTTGGAACCGACTGTAAGTTAGGCAGAATGAAGGACATGATGTCTAGATCCTGTACGGGGCAGCGGGTCACTGAGGAAAGATGGGAAGAGTTGGAACAGCGAACCAGGACAACATAGAAATGGGTAGGAAGGGGTATCTTCTTTGTGCCAACATCAACATATCTATCAATACATAATTGTAACAATGCAGAATACACACTTACAGCAAAGTGATTTTAATTTCTTGTAGTTTTAAAAAATATTATGAATTTATGGGATATAATAAATTTAAAATAATGAATCAAAATTGTTTGAAACTGGCACATTGTTATAAGGATGTGTTAATGTATAATTCTTATGACACCACAAAATGCAAAATTTAATTAAATTGGCAGTATGCTAATGTATTCAATGCATGATATTGTGACATAAAGATTAAAAAAAAGCATGCAATTACAAGAACTAATTCAACCCATTTTTATTTTACGAGTCTTACTTTGTTTGTGCTGTGAGTCCTTCAGACAGACCATCCGTATTATAATCAAAGGCAGGCCCTACAGTCACACTGAGGTCACCTGGTTGTCGGGCAAAATCAGACAGAATTCTCCACAAGTAGGTCCAGATCCCCAACTTAAACCCTCGGTACATGGGCATGATATTGGAGCTGAGGCTCGGCTCAGTGTTGCTGCTATTTGATTTAAATCCATCATTGAACAGTGAAGTAAATGTCACATTGTCATTCTCATAGTCAGAGCATGGTGAACTGTTGTTTGTAGGAACTCTTCCATCAGTGATGATACAGGTATCTTTTAAAGTCAAATTCTGTAACAGGATTCTTTTTTTGTTAATTATTTACGAGACATGTTACAACAAAAAATTTTAAAGGCAAGTAGAATGAAATTCAGTGACAGATCATAGAAAATAGGTTTTAACACTGTGCATCTAACCATTCAACATTTACATGTATAAACATTTACATGTACTTACAATATGGAATAAATTCTTTGTGCAATATTTTTTTTCTCAAAGTTTCAAAAACAGTTCTGAATCAGCAGTTGTGCTTCCTCAAATCAGTACTTTGGAAGCTTTCATTTCAAAATGTTACTTTTCTACTGGGAGAATTCAGTATTGATAGAGACAGAGGAACGGGTAAGCAGTCAATGGGTATCACCTGACTGTCTTTCAGGACATAGGAGGTCCACACAGGCATGTTGAACTTGTGGCTGTAAGCTGTGGAGTACTCTGTGTTGTGTAGAACACAGGCTTCCAGATCACTGGTCTGTTGTATAACTCCAAAGGGCAGGGACTGGTTACCATCAGCTGACTGGGGGTACACAACAGGGGAACTCTGCAATGATAGGACAAAATACTCATAAATAATTCAAACTTCACATATGTAACCAGCTACTTATCTAATATCATATGATAAAGTGAGCTTATTTCCATTTATCATGTTTTGAGAATTAGAGGAAATAAAATAATGGATGAAAAACTTAGCAGCAGTTAAACAGTAGAAATGTACAGCGGAATCATCGTTGTTCAGGGGGACCAATGTTCATGGGTTATCCTTACCCACTTACAGTGTATTTACACCCCCCTGAATGATTACACTTTGACAACATATTGATACATTGAATCTCTAAATAAATGAGTTACCCACGAAATTACTTCCCCACAAAAAAAGTTAAAGTTTGCTTTCCCAATAAGATTGACCACCATGAAGTAAAATGATTCCACAGTATCTTCTGAAACAAATCACAAAACATATACAGATAGATAGATCCTGTAACAAATCACAAAACATATACAGATAGATAGGTCCTATGGCATTTCTCCAGAGTTTCCTATTAACATTACAGGTTTCCACCTACCACATGACAGCTACAGTTGTTCTGTGGGGTGGACACCCTTGCGGGGAGGGGACAGTTCCTGTAGCTGACTGTAGGGGTTGCCTGTAGAGAAGGGGGCTTGTACATCAGGTCATGAAGAGCCCCAGGGGTTCCATTGTTAGGAGCTGGGTTTATCCCAATTAAATCTACAAAAACATTCATTTTCTTTCAAGATAAATTGCTATATGCACATGTATATGCCATTTGGCACAACATACCGTATAACGGGTATTTTCTGCGGTTGGAAATTTTTGCGATTTAACCCCTAAAAGATGGCAAATTAATTTCTGCGTTTTCAATTTCTGTAGTTGCATTATACCGCAAAAAAATATATACTGGGTATGATCACCAAAGTTGAAACTCTAAGAATTATCAGATAGCTGCCATGTTTACGTTTTATAAATTCATTGAGACATATTGATCAAAGGTGCATGAGAACTGGTATTAAGCTATTTAGCTTAATTAAACTACTATCTTTTAGTTAGTCTTTGTACAATTATGTCGAGTCCCAATTGAAATGAATTATTACAGTATCAGTCCACCCAAACAACAATAAAAATCTTTATTCTACATTGTAACAAACGTTTTATGCGATCTATTAAAATATTTAAATATATAGATAATTAATGCATCCAAGCCATATTCTACAAATACACTTATAGTTAATTGCCATCAAAATTAACCTGGTGTTTATATTTTAAGCTCAAACAAACAGTTGCATAATCAAGTAACCTAAAGTTGACCGTATACAATCACAGGTGCCATGTGCAATGAGGCGTAACTAATCCTGTCAGTCGTCTGCATTGAGTGAAATTCACGAGACAATCAAGCCACATTGTGTATACAAGCAGTAATTATGGTCTCAAGATAAAACACAAGATTAAAAAAAGTGTTAAGGACATTGGCAAGGTTCCTGGATTCTGTATAGAATTTGTTGAAAAATCTTCTGAAGCTGTAATGGTACCCAACATCTTTTATTCTGGCACTTTTTACCTACCAATCCACCCTTATTTTTAAGATTTTGTAAAATAAATGTTTTTTGAATTGTCAATGCATTTTCTATGTAAAAAGTTCATAAAATGAAATTGCAAAATTTTTAACCATAGGATTTTTACAAAACCCATATATTTCATTCTGTTCATATTATTTATACATTATTGTAATCCTATATCTTATGGCATTTGGGTATTTTGGCTGAAAATGCAAATATAAGCTAGAAGACAGACATCCCAGCACTGTTATTTCTATTTGAGTTACTTCCCTTAGCATCCATTATAATAAAAAAAGAAATAAAAAACTGTTTGACTGTATGTATTGTATCATTCATTTGAGTATGAAACATGTTTGTCATGAAAATACTGGCAGATATTTTTAATAATAGTTTTGTTTACTGTTACTCTTGGTTTCCCAGTGGAAGTTGTCTCTGAAAGCACTTGATGTATACCACAATCTCTGTCTCTATCATATGCCAACTGAAGATGGGCCAACCCAAGACCAGATTTGGAAATCTTATTTGCAATCACCTTGGAAATAATTTTATTTTCCAGTAGATATGACAATGAATTGGTATTGTCTTGCACAGTATTCTGAAATTGTATGACTTCCATGTATGATTGGAAGGAAAAACTGTTTTCTTGTAAGATATGATTGTTGAACTTCTGTGCTTTTACGAGATGTAAAAGTGCTCTTGAATCAGATGCAGCATCATGGGCACTGTAGTCTTCATGAAGAAGATCCTTTACGAGATCGACCTGCTTGTATGAAGTGCGTTCTGGTAACTGTTTCCTAAACAATGGAAGTGTGTCCACAAATCCACAAATCAATTTTGAAGCAGGAATACTCTTTTCTGTTGCTAATAATATACGGCAGAAAATACAAGCATCAAAACGAGCATTGTGGGCCATCAAGACAGGTTTTGGAATTTTAGACAGCCAGTCTAGGAAGTTTTGTATTCCTTCTTCTGTAGATGTTGATGGAACGTGATACCCTTCTTTATACATACTCCCTCCTGAAACAGCTAATCCTGTCACAGCAGATGCAGCAGGTGAAATGGGTTTAGAAGGCAAAATATACTGGCTAAAAATTTGTCCCTCAAATGCAGCACCAATCTGTGTGATATCACAGTCTTTACCTACAGAATACAATGAAAGAAAAAACATGTAAAAGTATTATTATACATGCAAATACTTATATAAAATGGATCAAACTAAAAATAAGCATTTTTATATACAATGTACTTGTACAGTTTAGGCAAAGTAAATGTAAGAATATGAGAAAATCAATTTATAGTACATTGACCCATATATGTACCTACCAAGTCCAGTTGTTTCCAGATCAAAAGAAACATAGGAATAATCTGCACTTGTCAATTTCTGGCAGGTTGGTTCAGTAAGTGGGTGTGGAATTTCAATGATGTCATGATTATTGTTGTTCAAATCAACTGCAGTATTGTATGTTTCACCCTCACGTAGTTTGCAGGTTTTCTGTTTGGTACTCCGTTCCTCCTTTTTTATTCGTCTATTTCGTTTATATTTCAATGTTTTTTCTCTTTCATTTCCCATATCTCTTTTCCTGTCATTCTCTTGGGAAACCTTTTTGGTTACTTCACCAGGGGATAAAAGAACAGACTCACAAACCTGCAAATTGTTATTTCTTGGTAAATTTTCAATTCAAAAACATTTTTAAAAATATAAATAAATCTTATTCTCCATAACATATATTAAACACATTATACAGAATTTTTATATCATAAAAATTATGTCATAACTAGAAATGTTTACCTCTGATACATATCCATATCCTATGTTCTTTTGTGCCACTGCAGCTGCAATTCGAAAGTCGTTACTTTCTGAACCTGAGTAAAAATGGGCCTTTGGAGCTTTACTGGATATAGTGTTGTTTAGACTTTCATTGGCCTGTGAACTTCCCAGGGATGACAGCTTTTCTGCTTTATCTATGTATTTCTGCAATAAAGTCATAATGCTGGTCTTGAAATTTACATCAGTGAGGTATCTATTGTATGGCAAGTTTTTTGGTTTATAGGTTAATGGAGATCGTAAATATCCACACCAAGAGTCACAAAAGGAATGGTCACCGAAGACATGTTTCCCTATCGCCAACAAGTTTTTCTTCATTTTTTCCCCATTTCCCTGATGCTGAGACACACAATACTTGAAGCATTTAGATAAATGTCCAATGGTTTTGGCAGTGAGTTCTCGAAAATTCTTGACTTTTTTCAGATCATACAGTTGGTTTGTGAATTCTTTTAGTGTATGGTTCTTGTCACACATTTTTTTCAGATCTGGTTTCACCTCACTTCTGGCTCTTGCAATTGTGGTGGAATCGTTGTCCATAATGATGGTATCTATGGAGACATCCTGTTTGTCTAATTCCCGAAGCATGTTGACACACATATCGGATTCCATTGCCTTCGAACTTCCTTTCCAATTTTGTCTACAGTCATGTTTAGCTGAATCACATTCCCTCCTTTTCCCAACCTCACATGTCCTACAAAACTTGTTGCGTGTTGAAAATGCTATACATTTTCCGGACTTGTTGCCAATAAATGTTGCATGTCCTAAAAAAAGAGGGGCTCAAATAAGCACAAAACTTGCATTGCAGTGTAAGAAAAAAATTAATTTGGATATATGTTCAAGAAATAAAATGTACACAGAAACAATTTCATTTTTTATTTATATGATTCCATTATAATTCCTGCTGTGTGGAAACTGAATTGAATCTTATATCCAGTACTTACCAGATAGGCTACTATATGACCTCCCTGATCCCCTCTTTTGCCATCCACCATCAAATGACACAGATAATCCCTCTGAACTGTCTCTAAAGTATGAATAAATATGTATGTCATGAAGCCTAATGTTATTATTTATTTCATTTGATAGAATTTGATGTTTTAGAGATCTATGTGATACTTTGTTACCTGCAGAACTCTTAGCATTATGGTTTCATATTTTTGTCTTTTACCATAACACTATATATCCCGTAATGCAAATATGGTGCAATTTACAGCGCATGATTTTCTGTGCATGGTTTGTGGATGTATTTGTCGAATTTCCATCATTGGTCAATCAACTACCTTTCATTCTCTAGTTCTAGGAATATTCTATTTCCAACCTGTTTATTTAATCCACCTCCTAACCCTTTATATTCATCTCTACAGGCCATTATAATCACTTGTTATGAATTTTGTGCCATACAAAGAAAATTCAAAACAAGTGAGTTTATTGGTCTGCAGAAATGACTATAAAGGTTAGGAGGTGGATACAATATACAGGTTGGTAAAATGTCTATAATTAAGGAATGAAAGGTAGTTGATTGACCATGTTGGAAAGTGGAGAAAAACATTCCCAACTGTGCGCAGATAATCATGCGCCATAAATTGCACCATATTTGCATCATGGGATCTGTAGCGTTATGGTCAAAGACTAAAATATAAAACATAACGCTACAGTTCTGCAGCTAATACTTTGTCTGCATGTTATTTACATATACCATGACAAGGAAAGAAAATTTTAATACACTCATTGATCCATATATTCATCTGCATATTTTTGAAGCTAAACATGTATATATTATTAATTACCCTGTCATTTCTTTTTCCTTTGCTGCAGCAGTTGAACAGCTAGTCTGGGCAACATTTTCAACTGCACATCCTATTTCTCTCTCTCTCTCCTTTAGAGTCGTTTTTGAACAGGGGGGAATATTAAGTGTAGATAATAAATTCGACATCTTCCTTTCACCAATGCCACTGTGTAAAATACCTGAATCAAACACAGTTTATATGAGTCATGTTTTTATGTCATGATTTCCTAATGCATTTGTAGTCAAATAGTATGTTTGTAGATCAATTTATTAGTTGACATAAATGATAAATTATAAGTGATTTGAAAAGCAATTTAACTTTTCATTGTATCATTTAGACATATCATATCATAAAACAAAGCTTTAATAACTTTTACCTAAAGCTAACTTGGTGTTTACATCCCAAACTCTTTTTCCACTTGAAGACTCATTCATCCCATGTCTTTTTCCTGTTGGTACAATGTTTACGCCATCACACAATGTACACCTTACGTATAAAAGAGAGCCTAACCCATATCGTCTCTCATTCACAATATCTGTGATATTCAATGGAAATTTGGAATGACAGACAGAACAACCCTCTAACAGTTTATCAACTAAGAATCCCAGTTCGACTATTCTTCTACCTCGTCTCCAACTAATCACTGTCGAACTGTCTTTGTTTTGATCTACATCTTCATCACTGCTAAAAATGTGTCCGTCACGAGAAGCAGAAAAGTTAATTGACGAGGCACAGTCTGGTGTTTCAGGCACACGTCCTGCACTATCATTACATGTTTCAACATCATTGCGCTTACCAGCATAACTGTGATCAACATTGATATGCTGATTGTCTCTCCCCTGGACACAGCGTTCAATAAAGTCGTCGTTACTTTTCTTTCTTGCTGTTGAAACGAATCTACCTGTTGAGGACGATCTCGCTCGCTTCATGTTTTCCTAAGTAACATACTCTTTTCTGATTTTCACAGTTTAGAGAGTTCTAAAACGGGAGATCACTCATGAATAATTTTACTAGGGGCAGATTACTCTAATTGACCGCTTTATAAGTCAAAAAACCCATGATCTAAACCTTTTTTCTCCGGATTACCGTGACTTGCCAATGTCCTTAAAGAAAGAAAGAAAAGCTAATATGTGTTGTTTGAAGCTATCGGAGTTTGGATGAATAATTGCGAAATCTCTTTTGGTCATTTACATGTAGGCCTACATGCATATCCGTATAAAATAAAGAAATAGGTACAAGAAAAGATCTTTTGTATAAAATTATTGAATTGATATTATTTACAGGAACGTTTTGATTCAATATGTTTTGGACAAATCCTGAGTGACATCTAAAATCTTCGACTTTCGATGACACCCGAATATTCTCGCTAACGAGGACGTGTCCACTCATGAGTCTGCAGATGCATCGTTTTTAAGAACCTTGCGTCCCAAATAATTTTGCTGCGTCCAGTACGCAGCTTCTTGCGTTAATGAGAATCCTGTGACATACACACAACTTATCATACTTGCATGTATAAAATATATATCTGAAGAAATATTGAAAAATATTTTGCGATTGTAATTTTTGCGGATTTGTCCTTTCCGCAAAATTCCGCAAAAATTGGACAACCGCAGAAAATACCCGTTATACGGTAACCTATTTGCACATCAACTTTAGAAATATACATTGTATAAAGAAAGAGTTTCTGGATGCCAATTTTTCTATCTGCTTTATGTGAAAGTACCTGACATTAGATTGTACAACTCTATGTTCTCAAAAGGCTGGGAACTGTAATTCTGTTTGAAACCTGGTCCATGTGCCAGGAACAGAGCCTGAAAATGAAAGAATTGTAACATATGAATAGCATGTAAGGTTTGAAAGACTGCATACTATAAAATTTATCAACTCTAGAATAAATAAATTTTCTCATACATACCTGCATGCTTTTGTATAAGTTATCAAATCCATGGTTTCCCTCTAAACAGTAGGTATGTTTATCTCTGAAATATAGGATTTAATAGATAAACCACATAGAAACTAGAAGTACTGTAAGCACTGAGCTCACATGATGATACCCCTGCTCCCATATGTACATGTATACACAAGTAATGGCATAGTTCATTTCTTGGCAGTATGTAAATGAGATTCTGTGAAAGTTCCATTGAATTTCATTCATTCACTCATTTAGGAGGTGTTGCATTAACAAAATGGGTACCCCTTTACTGAGTATAATGGCAAAATCCATGATTTGCTGTGGGAAACCCCAAATATCTCTCCAATCAAAACATTGAATAGGAGGTTCACAATGGCACTACGTAATAAAGTCTCTTTTTTATCCAGTGGTATAGGAGGCATTGTGGATAGATGGACACCCCCCAATTTTAAATAATGGCAGTGTATCTTTTGCTCTGGGAACAAATATGTCTCCAATCGAAAAATATAATAGGAGATGCACAATGCCAGTATAATAAAATTTTGTGAAAGTGTCATTAAATTGCATCCAGTGGTGTAAGAGGAGTTGTGAATAAGAGATGGGTATCCATAAGTGTAATGGATGGAAGGATGTATGGATAAACAATCCCATCAATACATGTATATACTTCCTACATTTGAAGCGGGAGGTATAATGGCAATATTTTGGGTGTCTCTCAAGAACAAATGCTATAGCTAAAGCAGAACATACGGTGTAAACAATCTAAACCAGTCAAGTGCTGACCATATTTATGTTCAAAACTACTTCTTATTTTAATATTAACAAGTACACAGACTGCAGTTGATCATCCAGCAAATACTAGCATGAAACAAATGGTGAGGAAAATTTAGATCCAGCAGTACATATAATTTGCTCAAAACAAGATACTGTATACAGCCCATTTTATTTTCGCCCCTTCACCATTGTACATGTAATTTAAAATGGGGCCAATTCAAAGTAAACAGCATTATCCCTTTAACAAAAACTGTGCCTGGGCAAATTTAAAACAGGGCAAAATTGTTTGCAAGTGTGAAGGGCAAAAATAACCCTGTATACAGTAATTAGCTTGCTGATATTTCCATGTTCTGTACTTCAAATAATTACGTAAATATTTCTCTGTTATATTGATTCTGTGCATTCAAACTAAGCTATATATAATGGACACTCCTTTGCTGTCATACTCTATTTACTTACTTAGCTACCATCCATTTAGCCTGTACATCCATGATGATATCTCCAATCCTTTTGTTGTTGGTATAATGGTGTCTGACAGGGACATCTGACTTTGAAAACATTTGAATATGTCCACTCTTACATGCCAACTTTTTCATCACTTCCTCTACAGAGGATGCTGGGCAAAAAGGCATACAGCTAAGTATTACTGATCTAGAAGGAAGGTACCTTTTTATTTAAAACTTGCTACAACATTCATCTTTCCTTTATACTCACAGTTTTTCTTTTTTTTCACCACCTTATTCTCTATATAGAAGTCTTTATGTATACTGCCAATGGTCCCATCAAAAATGAGGTAATCGTCTGTGTGAAGGTAAGAATTCAGAAACACTCGACGAGAGCAGGATGTCTTCTCCATTCCTATAAAGCAATAGTTACACAAGTATTCAGTGATTATGAGGGTAATTAACCAGATACACATTATTAGGTAAAAAAACATGCTAAATGTATCTAAATTTTACCGTGATCTGCCAGTATGATTAAATTAACACAGTTGTGGATCTGTCTTCTGTATAGCCCATTCATAAGACGAGAGATTATATTGTCCATCTTTCCCAACATTTCATTCACCTTAGCAAAAATTCATACTTACTGTTAGATCATGATGCATAAATGTCTATATACAACAAGATACAGAGATTGTGTTAATTTATTAAGTCATTCACTCTAATTTAACAAAGTGGGTGTAAAGAGAGTTTTACTGTACCTATACATATGTTAGATTTAAAGTAAAAATCACTATGAACTGGTTAGTACAAGAATTTGATACAACATACCTCTGGTCCCTTTGGCCCTACTTCATGTCCTGTGTGGTCCGGTTCATCAAAGTACAGCATGACAAAGTCTGGACGGTCACTGGTGGTCACACTTAGCCAGTCCAACACTGTGTCTACCCTCTCCTCATAAGGTATCTTCCTAAATGACATTTTAAATTTACAATTCTCAATGTTTTTCCTTGGATAGTTAGTTACTGATCTTTTTTATCTGATTTGAAAAGTTGCTTTCTCCAGAAATGACTTGCCCATCATAGGGTTTCCAGATATCTGGGTACTGGCCACTAATATTGACGTCAGACCCAACCCAGAAGAAAGACGCACTCTTTTTCCCTTGTTTGCGAGCTGTTATCCACAACTGTTATCAATAAATATACAACTGTATAATTAAAATAAATACATATCTTAATCAAAATCTCTCCATAATGCTAAATACACCTAGAAAGAAACTAATATCCTGTACATTTATTTTTACTGAAGTCAAGAGATCCCTTGGAAATCCCTTGGATCTTGATAGGAGGGGTTTTCAAAAAGTTCATAGACTGGTGCCATAAGATTTTAAGGAGCCAAAGATAAATTTAAACACACTTATTCAACATCATTTTTTCTGTCTAGAGAATAATTTAAAATTATAAGGTATCATGGTTTATCTTTGAATAAATTGTTAATGTTCATGTAAGCAATGGTATGATCACACGGGGAAACCTAAAAATACATGTACACAGCAAGAAATAATCAATTTTTTCACTGGTCACTCGGGCAATCACCTTCAATTTTAACTGGTCAACTCATTACTTTCACTGTCCCACTGGGCCAGGTGATTTTAAAAAGACTGGCCCAAATCTATAATAATAATAGTAATATTTTGTTTATATTGTGATACTTTTTAAAATAGTACAACTTAGCAAAACAAGAAACGACAGCACTAGAACTAGGACACACAACCCTGTCAAGTTAATTAGTCTGATTGTGAATGACTTTTGTTATGCATAAAAAAACACTGACCCGAAGGGCACATGTCCTCTACAATGTACGTACTAGCCCAGATTAAAAATTCACTGGCTCCAGACCAGCAGGCCATCAATTATTTCAAGCCCTGATGTGTACCATGGTTTTCTTTTTTCAGTGAATGAAATGAAGAAAATCTTTTGATGTGAGCATTTCTATCCAATAATCAATTTAAATTCACATTTGTGGTGTCACACAGTTTTTTTTGTAAAATTTTAAAAGTTTTCCTCATTTTGTCAGTTCTATAAGATCTTGCCATAAATTCAATAGAAAGAGCTAAAAATAAGTACCCAGTAGTAAAAAATAGTGCCAGAAAGGGAAGGGTGGTTTTTGGATGCATTTTATAGTCCCACTCTGGAAAAACTTACAAAGACTTCAGAAATGTTTGGGAGAAACAAAATGATGAATTCAAAAATTAACCTTGTTGCATATTATTGGATTTCTGAGTCAAAGGTGCGTATGTTAAACACACTTACACAGTTGAAAGTATAGATAAAAGAAATGACAGTTCAAGTTCTAGTGTCATCATTTACAAGAATTTTGACACATTCCAATGTCTGAGATACAAGTACCATCATAAACCCAAAACCTATACAGACATTCTTCTTAAATTTGTACTCACAGGCTCCCCGCCCCACCATGCTGGGTTACTCTTTGTGTTTGTGTAGATGTGGAAGGTGTCATTTATTTTTTCATCATACATATTGTTGTCAACAATTCCGTGAGATTCAGGATACAGACCCTACAATTCAAATCAACATCAAATGTTATACAATGCCATTCAATGCAATGTAATGAAATTTACAACATGATCAATTGTTTAAAATAGACAATAATTGAATAGTTTCATATATCATATTCTAAATCTACTAGATACACAGATTTTACAGTTTTTAACAACCATTTCTTATTTGCCACAAACTCTACCATGCAAAATAACATTGCACCATGTAAAATAATGTTGTTTATCAAATGATGTATTACATGCTTGCTTTGCAATTTCCAGAATCAGTGATCTTCATGTAGATTTTGCAAGTTAATCAAAAATAGAACAATTAGTCTGTGAGCCAATAGTAATATTCCTGCTCTGAAGTGAATATACACTCTATGTCAATATACACTCTATGTCAATATACACTCTATGTCAATATACACTCTATGTCAATATACACTCTTTGTCAATATACACTCTTTGTCAATATACACTCTATGTCAATATACACTCTTTGTCAATATACACTCTTTGTCAATATACACTCTTTGTCAATATACACTCTATGTCAATATACACTCTTTGTCAATATACACTCTATGTCAATATACACTCTTTGTCAATATACACTCTATGTCAATATACACTCTATGTCAATATACACTCTATGTCAATATACACTCTTTGTCAATATACACTCTATGTCAATATACACTCTATGTCAATATACACTCTTTGTGAACATACACAAGATCAGTTTAAGAAATATTCTACTTACTATGATTTTTTTTCTTTAAGGTTCATCTTTTTTATCATCATTAAAGTTTATCCAGAAAGTCATTATGTCCACAGTAACAAAACATAAGAACCAAAGCAATGCAGGGATAAACAGTAACTTGAATCGGACTTGTACAAAAATGAATCCTACCATATGGCATGCCAAAACAAAGAGTTTGCTAAAATTTCAAGCAGCTGCTATGATAAGTTGCTAATAAACTGTGACAGAAATTTGGTACAGACAGATGCAAGGATAAACAGGAAGTTGACATAGGATTCATACAAAAATGAATCCTACCATATGGCATGCCAAAACAAAGACTTTGCTAAAATTTCAGGCATCTGCAAAGAGTAGTTGCTGAGAAAACTGTGAAGAAAATTTGTTACGAACAGACAGACAGACAGACACACACACACACAGACAGATAGAGACAGACACACAAGGGTAAAACAGAATACTGTAAACCAACTATTATTTGCGTCAACTTTTATTTGTGATTCGTCACTTTGAAATCAATCCGCGACGATTAATTTTCGCGACTGAGGAAACATTATCTACAAATACAAAGCAAAATAAATGATTCGCGGCGATTAATATTTGCGAGTTAAAGTAAGTTGAGAATCTTGCGAATATTTCTCGCACGCGAATAAAAGTTGGTTTACAGTACCCTCAAGGAGAGGGGGCATAATTAGTCTAATATTTCAGATTGATGAAGACATTAGATGTAAGTACTTGATTTTTAAAAAAACCTTACATCTTTGTAATATTTTAAGCATATAATATAAAACTCTCTTTCTTATACTGCATCCCACATCAGCCTCTGGTCACTTTATATCAGCCTTTGGGTGGACAGCCCCTGGTCACTTTATATAAGCCTTAGGGTAGACAGCCCCTGGTCACTTTATATAAGCTCTTTACTAGACAGCCTCTGGTCACTTTATATCAGACCTTGGGTAGACAGCCCCTGGTCACTTTAAATAAGCCCTTGACTAGACAGCCTCTGGTCACTTTATATCAGCCTTTTTTAGACAGCCCCTGGTCACTTTATATTAGCCAGACAGCCCCTTGTCACTTTTAATCAGCCCTTGACAAGACTGCCCCTGGTCACTTAATATCAGTCCTTGGCTAGACTGCCCATGGTCACCTAATATCAACCCTTAGCTAGACCGCTCCTAGTCACTTAATTAGTGATGGGACATCAGTTAATTTTCATAACCGATCATCGGTTGGAATCAGTTACTGCTTCCGATGCAATTTTACCGATTATAATCGGATTTCATAGTTTTGTATACATAAAGCAGACTATTACAATTCTTTCATAGTATTTCTTTAACATGAATACGTAAAACATATAATATATTATTTTCTTTGTTTAGCTTCTTTTACACTTTCTAGGCTTCTTTTACACTTTCTAGGCGTCGCCCAGGTGGCGCAGTGGTTAGAGCATCTGCTCTAGAGTCGCAGAGTAAGGAGTTGACCCTTACGTCCCGGGTTCGAATCCCACTGTGGGACGTGGAGACCGGTCCTTTGGATGAGACCATATAAACCGAGGTCCCGTGTCGCATTAGGTGCTGGCACCAAAAAGATCCCTCACTGCTCAATGGTCGTATAAGTGCCGAGTATAGGACAAAATTTGCAGCTCTCCACCGGCAAGTGGTGGCGTCTCCATATGAGTGAAAAATTCTCGAGAGGGACGTTAAACAACATACAAACAAACAAACAAACACTTTCTAGTCCGAAAAAAATTATGTTCGTTTCCTGTAACATTCCCAAAAAATCAAGGGTCGGTAGGTCGGGAATTTTTTTTGTTTTTTTTTTTTGTTTGTTTGTTTGGGTTTTTTTTTTGGGTTATAGGAAACACATAATTTTTTCAGGCCATATATATGCACTTTTCGGTTCTTAATCACCTCTGCTTCGTGCTAGTTGGCAAGTATCAGATGCAGACGCCATTTTCTTTCATTAAGAAGAAATAAATTTTAAACCAGAAATGGATAATTCTGGAATGTATTGTATTAGAAGTATGTTTCCAATGATCGATTATGAAAAATTATAATCGATCATCGGAATCGGTAGCATTTTTTCGTCGACAATCGATGTTTTCTGATTATCAGTACAACACTACACTTAATATCAGGCCTTGACTAGACCGCCCCTAGTCACTTTATGCCCTTGGCTGGACAGCCCCTAGTCACTTCATATCTGCCCTTGGCTAGACAGACCCTGGTCACTTTATATCCACCCTTGGCTAGACAGACCCTGGTCACTTTATATCAGCTTGGCAGCCCCTGATCACTTTATATCAGCCCTTAGCTAGACCATCCCTGGTCACTTTATATCAGACCTTGGTTAGACAGCCTTTTTGTCACTTTATTTTGTCCCTTATCTAGATGGCCCCTGGTCACTTTATTCCAGCCCTTTGCTATAGAGCCCCTGGCTACTGTATCAGCCCTTGGGTAGATAGCCTCTGGTCACTTTATATCAGCCATTTGGCTAGACAGATCTGGTAATTGTAACAGACCTTGGCTGGACAGCTCCTGGGCTGATAGAGAGTGACCTTGTCATTGAGCTTATTTGGGATGCAGTATAAAAATGATATGTGATGTATCAATGTTTTTTTCAGGCATTTCTGCTTATGACTTAGAAATTATGACTAAATAATAATAAAGTTCTGCTAAGAAGTAAAGATAATCATACAGTGACTATGCTGTAATGGTTTGGAAATGTCAGTGTTGGGTAAACAGATCTCATGTATGGAGTGTGTACACCACAATGACTGAGCTTTTGTAAGGTGGGGGTAAGGTTCCTAGTCAGGTAATCTGCTCTGAAGCCATCCAAAGAAACAAGAAGTAGAGGAGAGGTGCTGAAAACAGGAAATATCTCTATAATTAAATATTACCTAGGACTGTAAAGGAAAATCTCAGGTAAATATTCAACACAAAGTGCTGCTTTATTTAGGCATTTGCTAGTGAGACAAATTGGTAAAGCATTGATAATTCCTATGGATAAAGTCTGTCTTTAGTGTTTAGCATTAATTAGCTGAAGTTTTACATTTCCAGCATACAGTACATCATACATACATGTATATAAAGCCAAGGTGTTTAAATCTGCTCTCCCTTTTCACTCAGAGGAGTAGGAACAGATTAAAACCCCTGTGTTTTAAATGTACTCAAATCATATTTCTTCAAGTATCTTATTTAATCATTATGAATTCAAAGTATTCCATAACAAAGTATACCTCCATGGGCATGTTTTTGGTGTGGAATCATGGGGCAGACACGGTTCGTCTATCCAGTTTTTTCCTGTGTCCGTTGTTGTGAGTTTACCTGATGTAGTTGTGAGCTTTTCCTGTGTAGTGGTGTGCTTATTTGGTGAAGTGGATTGAATGGTGGGCACAGTGGATTGAATAGTGGACACTGTGGTTGGAACAGAAGTAGTGGTAGAGCCACGGAGTTCATCTTTATCGGACTCGTCATTATCATTGCTTTTCTTCCTGAGTCCTATTCCCAACCCAATGCCAAGACTGACTGCAATTCCAAGTATCAACTAAAAAAATCACAATACAACAAGGGATCACTAAACTTAATGGCTCTTTTCAAACAATAATAAATATTCATCATAATTTTAATCAAATGTAGGCCTAGTACATTTTATAAAATAAAGGTCACAGGAGACACCGCTTTAAAGTCCAGTGATGGTCAAAAATATTTTGAGGAATTATTTAATTACCCATGCACAAAATGGTTAAAAATGCACGTTTACTTAACTCTATAATGTAAATATAGTCAAAATAGGAAGAGGGTTTAGAGGAGTTGTGTCCCCTGAAAACCAGCAGCTAGTTTTGCAAGATTTAACCCACCCACCCACCCTTGTTAGAATTTTGGTCGTTTTGTGGTGTGCTGAAGCTACATGTAGAAAGCTTGTCATCAAAGATGAAATCTCATCAAGATTATCAGTTTATCCCAAATTGAATCCCAGATAGAAAAAGAATTAAAAAAAAAGGGGGGGGGGGAATCCAGAACAGTGAACAGCTGAACAGTACTCATCAGCTCATACAGAATATGGTATTTTAGAAAATATGACACAAAAATATCTGTTCCTTTATTTACAAAGGCAGAGCATTTAAGCTGATATAAATAGTACACTAGAATCTCATTTCAAAAATACCTCTTCGACTTACGTCTTACTGCACAAGCAGGATATTCTATTAGCACGAAAATTACAAACAATACTCGAACAAATACCACATTTCCGATATACTCTCTCTCTCTCCTACTTACAATTACAGCTGTGATGATATACCGTGACCGCTTCTTCCGTCTGGCACCATCGAATAACTTAATAAAATAAACAGTATGATAACTCAGCACAACTTTTTGCTGAAGATCTGTAGCTCGCTGGTCTGAAAAAATTGGGATGGACAGTCGTCCATCCGAACAGACCAGCGAGCTACAGGTCTGCAGCTACTCAACAATTAAAGTGTAAAATGACGCAAACAATATCTGTGTCTAGAAAATTCATCAACATAAATTAGTATTTATTTATTTTTTTTATTTTTTATTTATTTAATTTTTTTTTTTTTTGACAACTGTTAAAAATCTAGACATTTTTATCTGTTCATTCTGCAACCACTGTCAAATTCTGCAGCAAGCATTGTGTAGTTTGGATTTTTCCCATAATGATTAGTATGTACCTCTGTTGTTGATGTGGAATTGATCTGAGAGGCTTCGCCGTCAGAGTCCTGAAAAATCAAATGATGTGTCGTGACCAGTATAAGTATTGAATGTAGTTAAGTGTAACATTGAAAATTTTCACCCCAAGAAAACCATTGTCAACCAAGGCGCAGCCGAGGTTGACAATGGTCTTCGAAGGGTGAAAATTTTCAATGTTACACTCAACTACATGCAGTATTTATCATATTATACTGAATGTTTTACACAAATATATATAACAGTGAACCTTGCGAGCATAAATTCTGCGCAGTCACTTTTTTTGGAACATCACCCGTCGTCAAGCAATGTTGACTGTTGGCACGCTGGAGGGCGTCACTTCATCATTAAGCGGGTAATCAGATTCAATTAATTTACATGAAAGTATAATATTTATATAATATTACTGTAGTACTAAGGCATGCGCAGATCGGGAGGGGGTCGGGGAGGCCAAAGTTATTAAATTTCTATGCAAAGTAATAAAAAATGACCTTGGACCCTGCCTAGGAAACATAGAGCCCAGGTAATATGGCTATGCGAGCCATGTATCAGAAGAAAAGTAGACTCAGTAATAAAAAGCTTGTTCTCCCTACCTAACACCCTACCCCCACCCCCACTCGCGATTTATCGAAAAAAGGATTTTCAGTTGTCAGGTTTGGGAAACTTCACAGTTTTTTTTTAAATAGTGTATCAAAAGCCCGTGTCACCATTACAAACCTATCTGGAAGTTTTCCATTAATTCTCATAACAAAAACCACCTTTTTTTGGAACATCACCCGTCGTCAAGCAATGTTGACTGTTGGTACGCTGGAGGGCGTCACTTCATCATTAAGCGGGTAATCAGATTCAATTAATTTACATGAAAGTATAATATTTATATTATATTACTGTAGTACTAAGGCATGCGCAGATCGGGAGGGGGTCGGGGAGGCCAAAGTTATTAAATTTCTATGCAAAGTAATAAAAAATGACCTTGGACCCTGCCTAGGAAACATAGAACCCAGGTAATATGGCTTTGCGAGCCATGTATCAGAAGAAAAGTAGACTCAGTAATAAAAAGCTTGTTCTCCCTACCTAACACCCTACCCCCACCCCCACTCGCGCTTTATCGAAAAAAGGATTTTCAGGTTTGGGAAACTTCACAGTTTTTTTTAAATAGTGTATCAAAAGCCCGTGTCACCATTACAAACCTATCTGGAAGTTTTCCATTAATTCTCATAACAAAAACCAAAATAAAGTTTTCAAAACAAATGCTATTGGAATCCTCCTTTATGGCTTTGAGTCCTGGAAGTTGACAAACAGCATCACACAAAACCTAGACTTCTTTCTTTACAAGATTCCTCCGTAGAATACTTATGATATTCTAGCTGAACAAGATCAGCAAAGAGGGGGCTGTATAAAAAAAAAACACAAACAGCTGCCATAGCTGACCAGATTAATGGAAAGCGATGGATATTGATTGGCCATGTCATGTCCTAAGAATGGAAACATCAGATATACCAAGGGTAGCTTAAACGATGGAATTCACCAGTGAAACGAAACAGAGGGCGACCAAAGGAGACACGGCGGCGATCAGTGGATAAAGAGATGAAAGAATCATGCATGGATGGATTTGGGGCGTGGTGCAGGAAATGTCAGCTGACAGACGGAGATGACGGTCCTTGGTGCAGGCCTTATGTGCTCAGTGCACGAAGAGGACTGAACCCAAGCTTGTCAGAAAATTTTCGGGTCCTACAATTTTTTTAAAATTGATTTTGCCCCCCTCCCTCCTTTATGGAAAAAATCCTGAATCAGCGCATGACTTTTTCACCTGATTATTTTCTTGATTGGAAAAAAATGACAAAAAAAAGCTACTAGTATATATTTAAAAAACTCCATATCTTTGGTACAAAACTGAAAAAAAGAATGCAATAATCCAGGTTTCGGTAGTGTAAATTGCGTTGCAAATACTTGTATGAATGATTTTTTAAAATTATTTTCATTACCTCAAAACCAATCCATCATTAAACAGAAATCCCTAGAATGATCTTATTGTGCGGACACAACCGTTCATTAGCTTTGTATACGAGGGTTGTTCAGTAATATCATGGACAAATTGTCTATGTGAAAAATAACGAATACTATACGTTAGTAGATTTTTCATCACTATGCAAATTTTGAATGTATATATGCTTAAGTATACAAAATATGGCATTTTATGCTATATATACATGTATACCGACAAAATGATTGGGATGGGCAGAGCTTCACTAAAAAAAACCCTTTCAAAAAATACTCTATACAGGGTAAAGTAACCTACATAGGATATCAAAGTTACATTGTAAAGTTTCATCATATCATAGTAAATCAAAGTATTAAAGTAAACTATAGTTTACTATAGTAAACTTAGTTCATTAAAGTATTGGTTTAAATATAGTTATGGCAATTTTTGTAAGCCCCCACCCACCCCACGGGTCTTGGACCGTTCTATGACCCTGGGGGGTCAGAATCGTTTCATGATCCTTGGATCATTACATTAGAGAAGATTTTGTTGAATATTTGAGAAATAATAGACCCTGTGCATTAGCGCTGATTAAGTTTTATTTACCTATAAAACACGATGTGTATATGAACATGTGATTTGTATGGAAATACCAGTTAAGAAGTAAACCTTTGTAAAGACAGAGAACGTAAACTGTCGTATCTGTACATTTATCTGATTATTAAGTAAATTCTGTTTTACTCGTTAATGTATGCACTTTATGTTTTGTATTTTTCCAGTGAACTTTCAATTTGAATTATCTGTGTGGAAAATAAATTCCAGTTTCGTCTTAGTAAATTTTCAGATAGCAGTTAAGACAAAATGGAAACTTGTATAAACAAAGCAATTGCTAAAATTAGTTGCTACAACAATTACTAACTATTTTATTGTCCTTAGCAAAGAAACAATTTCAAAGCCATTTGAAACTTGAGTTTGCCAGTTTAAGAAAAAGATAAAGTTGAATTAATGAAAATTATAATTTTGTTTTGATAAAATAGTTTATTTCAATGGAATTTGAATTAGATAATTAAAAATCAAACATTACATTATTTAATTTTTACTACATTTATTCCCATATTACTAGCTTAATAATCAAGGTAAAATGATTTTTTACTTATTTACATTTATTCCCATATTACTAGCTTAATAATCAAGGTAAATTACTTTTTTTAATTTATTTACATTAAATTCTATATTATAGTGGTATAAGTGATAACTTTCATTGAATGCCAATTTCGTCAAAACAAAATTCTTGTTTTGCCTCCGAGTCAGTCTGATCACCTTCTTTTCCGCCAGGATTTCTCGGCTAACACACCAAACAAACTTCCCTTTGCACAAACAAAATCCTTTTTTATGTCCCCGTTGATAACCTGGAAGTAGTTGACTTAACAATATCCCAGAGTTACATCCGAAATCTTAAGCGTGTATCCTTAGTTTGAAAAAACGTTTTTCGTTCACCCAAGCGTTCCGTCAAAACTGCTCAAATATTGCTTTTAGCAGTTATTTGAAGCAACATACGCTTAAAAATGTACCCACCTTCATATTTGTGAAACAAAGAAAGCCAAAATAAGTCTATAATTTACAAAATAGTCAGTTTTCGACCCCAATCGTCCCTAGTTTAAAATCGGA